TCCTTACTGTGACAGCCCAGTGACTGTTTCTAAGAATGCAGGTCTTTGATGGTTGAAAATGTGCCTTTTAAGAGAAATTTGAGTTTTGAATTTATGTGAAGAGTACTTGTGCTTTGACCTTCCCACACTAAGGGAAGGCTTCCTTTGCCAGGATTTTGTGCTTCCCATCATCAGATTTCTCCTGTGTATCAGACCTGCTGCAGATAACCATCTAAACATAAACAATGAGCTTCTCCTTTGGGTTTCAAACCCTCAGCACATGTGTAGAGAGTTTTGTATGTCTGTACATCTGTATGTGGTTGTGGTGGCTTGTAAATGTGAGAGTGACAAAAATTTTAATGTTGAAGAGGGGTTTTTACACTGAGGTTAATGCAGTGATTTGGCAGCAGAACCAGCTCTCTCTAGAATAACATTATCTAACCCAAAACATCAGGAGAGCGGGGTAGCTGGCCCACACAACCGGGCCCAGCTGTGTAACACAGGACGGCAGCCAAACCAGAGCTTTCTGAGCCCAGAGAGCAGCGTGCACATTCAGGCACGCCTGCAGCCTAATCACTGCAAACCAGGGAAACACCTGGGAACAAATGATTTCTGTCCATCCATCTGTCTGTCCATCCATCCACCATGGGTCCATCCATATATCTGTGCATCCATCCGTCTATCCGTCCGTTCATCCATCCACCGTGGGTCCATCTGTCCATCCATCTCTTCGTCCATATGTCCATCCGTCCGTCCATCTGTTTATCCGTCTGTCCATCCATCCACTGTCCATTCATCCATCCATCCATCCATCCATCGTCCATCCATCCATCCATCCATCCATCCATCCATCCATCCATCCATCCATCCATCCATCCATCCATCCATCCATCCAACCATCCATCCTACCATCAGTCCATTCGTCCATCCATCCATCCATCCATCCATCGTCCATCCATTGTCCATCCATCCATCCATCCATCCATCCATCGTCCATCCATCATCCATCCATCATCCATCCATCGTCCATCCATCCATCCATCGTCCATCCATCGTCCATCCATCCATCCATCCATCCATCCATCCATCGTCCATCCATCGTCCATCCATCCATCCATCCATCCATCCATCGTCCATCCATCCATCCATCCATCCATCCATCCATCGTCCATCCATCGTCCATCCATCCATCCATCCATCCATCCATCGTCCATCCGTGCATCCATCCATCCATCCATTCATCCATCCATCCATCCATCCACCGTCCATCCATCCATCCATCCATCCATCCATCGTCCATCCATCCATCCATCCATCCATCCATCGTCCATCCATCCATCCATCGTCCATCCATCATCCATCCATCGTCCATCCATCCATCCATCCATCCATCCAACCATCCATCCTACCATCAGTCCATTCGTCCATCCATCCATCCATCCATCCATCCATCCATCGTCCATCCATTGTCCATCCATCCATCCATCCATCCATCGTCCATCCATCATCCATCCATCATCCATCCATCGTCCATCCATCCATCCATCGTCCATCCATCGTCCATCCATCGTCCATCCATCGTCCATCCATCCATCCATCCATCCATCGTCCATCCATCGTCCATCCATCCATCCATCCATCGTCCATCCATCCATCCATCGTCCATCCATCCATCCATCCATCCATCCATCGTCCATCCATCCATCCATCCATCCATCCATCCATCCATCGTCCATCCATCGTCCATCCATCCATCCATCCATCCATCGTCCATCCATCCATCCATCCATCCATCGTCCATCCATCCATCCATCCATCCATCCATCGTCCATCCATCGTCCATCCATCCATCCATCCATCCATCCATCGTCCATCCATCCATCCATCCATCCATCCATCGTCCATCCATCGTCCATCCATCCATCCATCCATCCATCCATCCATCCATCGTCCATCCGTGCATCCATCCATCCATTCATCCATCCATCCATCCATCCACCGTCCATCCATCCATCCATCCATCGTCCATCCATCCATCCATCCATCCATCCATCGTCCATCCATCCATCCATCCATCCATCCATCGTCCATCCATCCATCCATCCATCCATCATACATCCGTGCATCCATCCATCCATCCATCCATCCATCCATCATCCATCCATCCATCCATCGTCCATCCATCCATCCATCGTCCATCCGTGCATCCATCCATCCATCCATCCATCCATCCATCCATCGTCCATCCATCTATGCATCGTCCATCCGTGCATCCATCCATCCATCCATCCATCCATCCATCCATCCATCTATCCACCTGTCTATCTATCCATCCATCCATCCATCCATCCATCCATCCATCCATCCATCCATCCATCCATCCATCCATCCATCCATCCATCCATCCATCCATCCATCCATCCATCCATCCATCCATCCAATTGGATTTAAGTGGATTAAGTGTGGAAAACAGAATATTTGACATGGTCGCCCTAAAAACATGTATGGACTCTTCTCATAAATCAGGTGAATCAGGCTCTCTCTGTGTTTTCCTCTCTCTTTTATAATCTGCACAAAATATAGGTTTAACCTGTTGAAGCACTATAAGCTGCATCAGAGACCAAACACTAACAGCATTTTAGCATGAAGAATCGTTTTACTTTAAATCATTTAAGAGCAGTTCTAGTAAGCTTTGTAGAAGACAGCAGCTTCAACACTGCTCAATTGGGGGGAATTTCCCCCTCTTGTGGACAAACCTGAGAGTTTTATGTGGCTGTTAATGAAAAGTCATGATGCGTTTCAAAACGCATTTCTAACACAAGTCAGACTCATTTTAAAATGGATGTGTTTACTTTTCAGATTTTTGTTTCCAGATTCTTAGAACCAATTCTTTATTCATGTAGCTTATTCATTGGGTGCCCTGCGATGGACTGGCAACCTGTCCAGGGTGTACCCCGCCTCTCGCCCAAAGACAGCTGGGGATAGGGATCAGCATCCCTAGCGAGCCCACTTGGGATTAAGCGTGTCAGAAAATATATGGATGGTTGGATGGATTATTCATTGGGTGGCTTTTACTGAAGGTTAACTAAGGGAACCCATATTATTGAGATCCGGTTGATGCTTTTGGTTGATTTCTAAATATAGCCTGTTTTGTTTTATAAAGTTTAAACTTTTTAACACTTAAAGCAACTAAGCAAGTGGTCATCGGAAAGCAAACTTGTGATTTTAATGAATGCTTGCTGCAGTTTATGCTTTTAATAAGACACTTTGGAGCAATTAGAAATTATCCACATGTAATCCCGTTCATCCAGCTGCAGGAATGGAAACTTGCAGAATCCAATTCATGCTGCAGAGCTTGAAGCTCAGTGAGGTTGTGGAGAGATGGGAGGGGAGAGGTGTGAGTTAGAAGACAACACGCACGTACAGCACGGAGGAGGGTTGCATATGTTGCTCTGGGAACTGCAGAAAGTGAGCTTCACTGTAGCATGGCAGGCCTGTGTCATGCAGGTTGCAAAGATTAGAGGCATGATGATGACCAAATATAACATTGTTTATGAGAAAATCTGCCTCTTTCTGCCTAATCTACCCTCTAGCTGCTGAGTCAGATGAATTCATCTTCAAATGAATCAACCGGTTCATGTTTTTTCTTGTATTGCTTGTTATTTCAGTCTAATATGGGTATGGAAAAAAAAATTACACATTCCACCTACAGATCCCAATAATTAAAATCAGAAACATTCCCTTTTTGGAATGTACTTAGTTCATATTCCCTGCAGTCTTTTCTGGGATAAAACAAAGCTTCATATGGTTGCTTTAGTTGTTCCTGCTATTCCATTGAATACTGAAATCCAGCCAGCTGCAGCTACATGATAACCCACTAGAGGGAGGTATTGCTGTGGAGTTGAACTCATTTTCCTCGGGCATCCGTCCATCAATCCATCCATTGATTCATCTATTCATCCATCTATCAACTTATTCATCCATTCATGCATTCATTAATTCCTCCATCCATTCATTGATCCATTCACCTATCCATCCATTTAGCCATTCATTCATCAAAACATCCATACATCCATAAATTCACCTATCCATTTATTCATCTATCCAATCATTCATTCACCCACCCATCTTCCCATTAATTAATCCACCCATTAATTTATTCATTCATTCATTCATTTATCCATCCATCCTTCTGTGGTTGTTGATATTTATTTATTTTTTTTTACAAACATGTTGAGTAAAACATTATAAACATTATAAACTCCAGAGTAAAGAAAGCCCTTTAGTCATGAATATTGTGGAGACTCCTCCCATCTGTGCTTTGCACATGGTCTGCTGTGTCTATATTGGTTTTCTGCATTTTAAACCTGACCCAGAGCATTGTGGCCTAAAGTTTCCCTTTTCCACAAGTCTCTACCATGCTAACTGCAGCCTGTAGAGGATCATTTGGAGCCAGTGCTGTTTTTTAAAGTAATATCTATGCAACACAGTCTGACATAGAGGCGAAACTGGACAGATCGTCACTCCTAATTAGACTGAAAGTTGTCCTAAATAATCTTCAGTTATAAATATTTCTTAATGCAATGATTTAACATTTCTGCAGCGTAAAATCATTGTAGTTAAAGTTGGAATGCTTCAGGTTTTAGAGCTTTCTTGTTTCAGGCTTTGTGTAAAAAAACAAAAAAACTCCTTAAATGGGTTTTCCATACCTACTGGCTTCAAACTGTTAAATTATTGCACTTTTGAGAACCTTAATATTTTGTGCAAAAGTGTCCTAAATCTTTAATTTCTTACAACCTGACATTGAGAATTAAAACCTTTTTATTAAAATGTACAAATGTTATCTCTGTTAGACATTAACATGAGATAATTTGTAGAAAAGCATTTTTCTGTCTTTTTATTGCATCAAATAGAAAATTTGGAAAACTGAAAAAGAACTTAACATTCTTTCTGCTGCAGTCTGGCCTACTGCTGCTTCCTCGCCCTGTCCAATCATCTTCATCCTTTTCTCTTTTCTCCAGGGAGACAGAGGAACCGTCTGGAGCCAATGGACACCATTTTCGTCAAGCAAGTGAAGGAGGGAGGCCCCGCCCACGGAGCTGGACTCTGCACAGGTACGCAGCGTCATAATTGGTTTGATCCTCTACTCATATGTGTAATGAAGGTAATTCCACTTCAGTGCAAATTGCCAGGCTGAACAAACCAGATAACAGAATGATGGATAACTCCTCAGTGGGAGGCTGAACAAACTGTAACATCCTCTCTTTCCTAAGTCTCTGTTTTCCTACATACCTACTGCATTTCTTATCTCATTAATACATGAATCAGTTCTTATTCTGAGCAGTGAGGATAACAATGCTTTTAAAAAAAATCTGACGTGGTGAGACAATGAATCAGCAGCTTAAAGTTTCCCTGAAGTGAAGGTGATGTTAGCAGCTCTCTTCTGCTAGGTCAGCACTCTTTATTACAGGAAATGTTACAGTAAGTGGTCTGGACAAGCCCTCAAAGCTGTCTGCTTTTATCTGTCTGCTCTCTTGGGAGAAGGGAGGGCAGTGTTTTCCCACATTTATCCGGTTTATCCCCTAAACTCACCTCGCCTCTCTTCCTGTGTGAGATGGTCGTCCTCAGAAACCTGAACGGATTACCAAATAAACACATGTAGGATTCAGATTGTTGCTGTTTGACCCAGCCAGAGGATATGTATGTTTGTGTCGATTAGAGTTACCTTATTTTTCCTGATCTCTAAGCAGATGGTTCTCTAAATTATCCTCTCATTTCCAGGGGATCGGCTGGTGAAGGTGAACGGAGAAAGCATCATCGGGAAAACGTACTCCCAGGTCATAGCTTTGATCCAGAACAGGTAGGGCTGCATTCATGCACCGTCTTGGTTTTTATATCTGAAACAACACATTTCTTAACTATTTTAGAAGCAAGAAAGTTTGACAAAATTTTTTTAAACCGAGTCAGTCATTCAATTCTAAAACACTTGTACTACAAAAAACCCAAAAACTAGAGCCACGCCTCTCCTAAAGAGGAGGCGCAGCTTTCTATAGACGGTAGAGAGTCATCTGAAACTACAGAGTAAGACTTTAATGCTTTGACAGCAAAAGCATTGTTCTCTAGATGTTAAGCTTCTTGTTGGGAACAGAAAACCCTGCTAAAATATCCTATTAGGTTAGCATTTTGAAAATAACGAGATCCAGTTTGTCCTCATCCAGGTGAAGAACTGTTAGACTTCTAGTGGGAAAGAGAAACACATTATGAACAGACAAGTAATTAATTTCACATCTTAATCGCTTATCTATCTGCTCCATTTACCTCTGGGCTGGGAAGTCAAAGTGACGTAATTTTAGAGATGATGCTGATATTCATCATTGTTAGTATGTGATCACTACAAACAGCCTTATTGGTTGTCTATAACAAAAATATTTCTATGCAGCTTTTTTTGCATATAATTAACTTTGACTGTGAACATTGAAAAGTAATCTGTGTAGGACTTGGTAAACATTACAGGACATATGGAAAAACTGCTAAAAACAGTCAACATAAGAATGTTCAGCTCTCTTGATGCAGGTGGCAGCCATCTTTAATGTCAAAGTTGGGACCTGTCTCCTCAACTTTATGATTGGTAATTACAGAGCGCTTTTAAAGCCCTGGGTAGAATGCCGGTTTGATAAGTCTCCAGGTTTCTGCTTTAAAGCCACTTTCGACTGCCACCCACCATCGACCGTCCCCTCACTGGATATTAATTAAAGCTTTTCTGACTTCTGAGGTCACTGCTTTTGTCATGGGTGACCAATGCATGGTTAGAAATGGAAATGAACTGTCCTCAGCCTGACGCCATGCACTGAGATTTATTAGATTTCTGTTCAGATATTTCAGTTTTCCTGAGGAAAATTTCTCTTACCAAACTATTTACTTTTCAGGTTTTCTTCTGTAATATTGTAACAAACCTGATTATTGGGTTAACTGTATGTATTTGAGTTAAATTATATTTGTATGAATAGCAAATACCTATATAAAAACCCTACAGCTATTGGCCTGTAAGCAGACAAGCTCAATGCACACCTTTAGCTCATCATCTTTTTTAAGCTTTGGTTGTAAAATCAGCTGATTGCAGATTTGATCTTTACCTTTTATTAGATTTTTGTTATTTTTGGGAAAACTCTAAACCCTGTTTTCTCCATCACTCAGCGATGCGTCGTTGGAACTGTGTGTGATGCCAAAAGATGAGGACATTTTGCAGCTGGTAGGTATCCCTCTGTCATTAGTGGAGCTATAGCTTTAAATGAACCTCGTTTGTTAAACCTTGATCATTTATTCAATAAAACTAAGAAAGTTTGATAAAGGCGGAGCTCATGGAAGAGATCCTAAAAAGCCTTTGAATTTAAAGGGTTTTACTGATATTAATTCAGGGCCTTAAAAAACGTATGTAATACTACATTATGTCAGGCTAAACATTAGTATGTTTGAATTGGGACAACACTACAAAGGTCATGTTTCAGCACATAAATTAGCACTGTTTTAAATAATTTATTGTTAAATATTTTGCATCTAAATCTACTCCTTAATCTGGGTTAATGGGGTTTAGGATCCAAACCTTCTTGTCAAGTTGCCCTACACCAGCTCCTCCTTAATAATAATGTGCATATTAAATGTTTGGGATGGAAATATGGATTTCTATAGATGTTTTAACCCTTCATTATAAACTGAAGCTTGATGTGTGCAGTCAAAGGTCCTCTCTAAACCACACCATAATAAATGAGCCATTGCTCTCTGAATATTCTTGTTGCATTCCAAATTACGCATCATGTTACATTAAACCATCCAGGCCGCATCTAACATGGGTTTAACTTCAAGTGCGAGGTCATGATGATTCATTATCATTGTGGCAGCAAAGGGGTCTTGTAGAAGTGGTGCTAGCCTAACCACAACGCGTGGCTCGCTTAAGCCAGTATGGTTCAGTCTTACTCTTTCCGTGTGTTCGACCTACAACCTCATCAGTGGTCTTACATCACTGCAAGTAGTTTATGTTGAGGAATGTATGGCAGGCCGTTTTGACATTTATTAGCTGGACTGAATATTTAATCCAGATGTCCCAAATACATTTCTTCCTAGTCAAAATTAAGATTTCAGATAACTAACATAACATTTTTCCTATCTAAAACAAAAATTTCAGATATCTGAAATGTTATTCTTACCAGTACAAATGATGTCACATTTCCCATTCATGTGTATTGGGCTTTTACTTCGATACCTAAAATAACATTCTTCCTAGCTAAAATAAAAATTTTTCCTATCTAAAAATGTATTCTTATGAGGACGAACTCTAATTTCAGATCTCCATAATAAATAAAGTAATAATAATGTAGTTACTGCTTGTCATAATGCCTAGATTGTACCGGATTGTATTACGGAGATCTGAAATTCATTTTTAGACATCCATAATGTTTATTTGAGTTAAATAATAAGAAGAAGAAGTTCAAGTTAAATGTAAGTTTTTAATTAACTCATTTATTTATTTAAATAAACTATACTTTGCCATTTCTGGCCTTGATCCTGCTGAATGAAAGCCTAAAAAAACTACTTAATACTTTGAAAAGATGATTCTTTCTCTCTGATGCAGATTATGGAATAAACAAAACAAAGCAGCAAAAACATATTAGTACTGGCAATTATTCTTAATATCTTTATAAGATTATGTCATTCCTGTCATTGTTCAGTTGTCAATAACATTTTTGGCATTTTTTTATTTTTTTTAAGACCCAATGTGGAAGCTGGTTGCCTCTTCTATGTCATATTTCATCAGGATATTAAGGAATAGAGAGAGAAAGTGTTAAAGATCTACTTTTTCTGGTAATAAAACAAAATCTCTTCTGAATGTTGGCCTTGATTAATTTCTTAAATAGTGAACCTGCTTAGAAAACTGGGTTAACAAGTATCTGATTTCCTAAAAAAGATTGATAATTCGTCCGTCAGAGAGTTTTATCGGATATGGATTTACATGAATCACAAACAGCTGGAATTGTGGATAAAATAAAGATAGAAGCTGTCAGAATGTAGAAATAATACACAGCCAGAGGAGTTACAACAAGAGTTGACCAAGAATGACTGCTTCATAGCCTTCTGCCGATCAGACTTGTGAAGTAATCCAGCAGCCCACACTACCAGTCAGTGCCCAGTACTCTGCGGATAACAAAGCAGCTGGAGACAATTCAGACCAGTCACTGTGTGTTTTTCACCCTTTTTTTGGGAAAATCAGTGCTGAGTCAGATCAAACCTAGCTGAGTTCTTCATTGGGCTAAGCCATAGATTACTGGATGCAGTTGGAAATAGGAAACAAATCTGAGTACCCACAAGTCTTAAGCAATTTTAAAATCTCCTATCTATCACTTCTACCCTTTGTCTTTATAAGCTATGAAACGCATCACAACTTCTTACGCTATATAATTGTGAACATCACATTTTAAAGTGTTTTCTGAAGGGCTCTGTGCTCACTTAGTACCAGAGGGAATGTAGTTTGCAGTCAGCTGACTTCTTTCAGAATGCTGTTTATAGCACATCCAGCAACATTTTTATTTATTTTTTATTTATCCTTTATTTAACCAGGTAATACCCATTGAGAATAAAAATCTCTTTTAAAAGGGAGACCTGGCCAAGATAGGCATCAAAATTACATCACATCATTACATACATACAAAGACACACACATAAAAGCCAAATATGAACTTACAATAAAATTTCAATTAAAACATTGACATGTGAGGGGGTCCAACATGCAGAACATGCAATGAAAACGTAAGGTTAAAAGTTTAAATAACCATAAATAATGCTAAATTTGTGCACTGTGGGATACTGTGGCAGAGAGAGGGAAAGTGGCTGGTGTGTCCTCCAGCAGCCTAAGACTATAACAGCAGAGATAGCTCAGGATAACAGGAGCTACTTGATTTTAAACTTTTTCAAAAAGTAAAGTTTTTAGCCCGGTCTTAAAAGCACATGGGTTAAATAAATATCCCACAGCAAACGATCCTAAAAACTTACTTTCTACTTATAAAACCCCTGTGAACCACATTTTTATGTGTGATTGCAAACTCCAACATCTAGAAAAGTAAACAAGAAAGAGCTTTACAAATAATTTGATAACTTGCTTTGTTAATTTCCCCACATAAATCTAAAACGAAAACACAAGGTGTCAAAGGTCACAAATGGACTCAGAGAATCCATATTCCAACCTAAAATGTTTCAGATCGAATAGTTAAGCAATCAAATCGGAATCTATCTTTGATTATTTAGGTTGTAAAACCTGTTAAGGTAGATATTTTGTACTGAAATTTCCGAAATAAATAAAATTGTTTGGAAAAATGAATTATTCATATCAAAATAGGAGAAGTTAGGGACATATTTTTTGTGCAAAACCATAATCGGCGCATCTGATTCGTACATTTCTCTGTAGTTTGATCTCAAATCTGTAACACTGTGTTTCTCATCTCCTCATACTCACCTGTGTCCCTCTCCTAACACTCTCTTTCTCTTTTTTCGCACTTATCTAACCTGTGGACTGCAGTTTTCCAGGGATATCACTGCTCTGGTAAGAAGGGAGACCTTTTAACTAATACTTGTCCTGCTGATTCCCTTTTCCAGCTCATGTTGACTGAAGCTGGGAAAACCTCCACATTAGAAATCCCCAAATGTTTCCCACTAGTTGCTGTATTTTGAATGAAACAGAGAGGTAATCCTACGCTTTGCTTTTCTTTTACTTTCGGGTACTGAGATGATCCTTTAGTAGACCTCAAACATTCCTCACTGTACTTTCCACAATCAGGAAATTGGTTTCTATTTAACTGGAGGAGTGGAGATCCAGAGGGAGCAGTCAGCGGCTGTAACCTGACACCTCAGGTAGAGAGCTGTTGATTAAAGTCCAGCACTGTTACTCTCCCTCCCTTTCATTTTCTCAAGAGCGTCTCTGCTGAAAGGATGAGGAACTATATCAGCTTTGGACATGAAGCCTGGAAGGGTTTTTGTTTTTTCTCCCAAACCTCAGGGATTTTATTTTGACTTTAATTAGCTCAGTTAAGCGGGTTTTCTGGTTAATCAGAGAAAAGCCATGCTGACAGAAGTAGCATTAGTTGCAAAAACCAAAAAAAGGAGACTCAGAATCGCCCGCTTCCTGTGCCTCAGGCAGCGCTCTCCCGTACATAAGGTGGGTAAACTGCTGCCAACCTGCTCTATCTGTAGGAAACTCTGCTTAAATCCCCAGCTTTTGACAGCAAGCTTTAAATTTAAATCCCATCTTTGATTAGTGTTGGCAGAGATGTTTGATTTAGATGCAAGAAAGCAGCTGACTATTACAAACTTTTCTGCTCTTCGTTTATTTCCTGGCTGCCTTATTCCAGCTGTCATCCAAGCATTGATTGTCTCCCAGTGATAATCTCATCAACTCACACAGAGACTGCCGTCAATTTGGCAGCAGTCACAGACCTCCAGTCCTTTCCTCCCCTCAGCTGGGAAGCAGCCACACGGCAGCGCTGCAGAGGAGGTATTTTTAGAAGCGAGCTGCAGCGGCGAGGGCAGAGAGGAACGCTGAGATGGAGATGGCAGGGAATTTATCAGGCTCGAGCTGAAAAGATCTGAGCAGGAATTTAAAGAGTTAAGATGACAGTTTTAGGATGTTTCAGATTTATTGCATGTATTTTGTTTCCTGTCTCCTCTCGCATATTTTAAGAAGGAAGGTGTGTGTACACTTCATTGGTATAGTATGCTGTGACAGTATTTACAGTAACTTTAGAATATTTTAAGGTTTAATTTATTTCATCATATATTTTTTTAAATATATTTTGTATTAGCAATAAGGTTTTATAACAAGGTGTTAAAAACAGAAAACTAAAAGATGCAAAGCACCAAGTGTTTTTCAGCTTTTTTTGTACCATAACCCCCCACCACCGTGATGCTGCCTCTGCTTTGTGTTGCCATGGAGACGGTGTGGCTTGAGTGACATTGAGTGCTACATTTTTCAAAACCAGAACTTTTAATTTTAGTCTTGTTTGATCAGAGCAACTTCATCCGTGTCTCCTTCATGGCACGTAGCAACCTGGACTTGTTAAAGCCAGATTTTGAGTTGCGTAACTATTGGTTATCCTAAGCTGTCAGTCCCTGTAGCTCCTCTAGAGTTACTTTGGGCCTCTCTGTAAAATACTCTACATGTCCAGTCTTTTGGTTTAGATAGACTGGCCATGCTCTGGTAGGTGTGAAATGTTTCTATACTCCCTTAAATGGTTGAACAGAGTTAGAATGCTATCAGATGTTCAATCTAACAATGTTTTAAACTTCTCCGCATCTTTCTTTCTGTTTTGTTCCCTGGTTCCTCGTGATGCCATCTGTTCTCTTGTGTTCTCTAACCTCTAAGTTCCTCAAGGAAAAGGATTTTTGCAAAGGGTTGAGTTCAACATTAATGGGCATTGTTTATAAATCTGCTGCTTCTTAAGGCAATGGGTTTTCTTAAATGGTGTCAGAATAAATGTTTTAGAGTTAATTAGTTTCTCACATCAGGTCCCAATTAATACATCAAGGTTTAAAGAACTTAAATATGTTTTCTGTGTTCTTTAAATAATGTTGGTATCTCTTGCAGGCATATTCCCAAGATGCATACCTCAAAGGAAATGAGGCTTACAGCGGAAATGCCCAGAACATCCCGGAACCCCCTCCCATATGCTACCCTCGGATAGAGCTAAAGGCTGCGGCCATGGCCCAGCCATCCGACCAGGGAGCAGGAAAAAGAGGGGCCCCTTCAGAGAACAGCTACCGGGTGGAGATCCCTGTCCCACCGTCTCCTCCTGATGATCCTTCACACCAGCAGGTGTCAAAGCCTCAGTTCTCAGCGTCCATCAACAGCGAGACCATCAGGACTCCATCTGTACCCCCTCATCTGGTAGACAGGGGGTCCCGGCTTAACCGGACCGGACCCAGTCACAGGACGGAAGAAAACCGGTACGATTCGCCAGCGGATAGACCCAGACCGCTTATCTCTAGTCACCCAGGAAGTGCTCAGTTACAGGGCGCTTCCCCATCATCAGCCTCCAGACCTGCTACCGTTTTTCCTGAGATCTCATCGGCCACGGTCCGGGCTCCTCTCGCTGCTGTATCAACAGAAACTTTCTCTACAACCACCTCGCCCACTACCAACCACTGTTCCCCCTCCCCTCCGGCAGCAACCACCTCGCCTCACCGGAACATCGACTGGAGGAACTACACCACCTACAAGGACTACATCGACGCCAAGAGGCTGCATACTTATGGCTCCCGCACCATCCAGGAGCGCCTGGACAGCCTGCGAGCTGCAGCCAGCTCTACCTCTGCCTATGCCCAGCAGCAGCGAGCGCCGCTGCCCTGCGCCAATCAGAAGGGCGCCTCAGGCTCTCCGGTCAGACGCAGAAGTGCTTCAAATGATCGCGGGGCGGAGCTTGCTGCCAGTGCTCCACTTCGCAGCGCCTCACAGGAGAGGCTTGGTGGACCACCTGACAAGACTTCTCGGAACTGGCCTCGGAGTGTTTCTCAGGACGCGCTGCCGTTCTCCAGCACCACCAGGGTCATCAAACCCCGAGCGAGGTCCTGCGACCACATAGGCCAGCAGCTCGGAGAGCAAAGCAAGGTCTGCTTGGGAGGTAAGGTGGAGGAAAGACAGGAAACAAGCCAGAGAACCCTACCGCCTCTAAACAGGAGTCTCACAGGTCCAGAGCAGGAACAGCGGTCTTTTAACTCGCCATTATCTGCTCCTGATGTTACTAAAGCTCCAATAGATTCTGCACTAACGGCGAGAAAGGACGGCCTCATTATGAGACCCTCACGTCTCCCTGTCAAAAACTCCCTCTCTGACTTTTCTCCCACCTCGTCCTCCATTAAAACCACAGAGCCTCTCAGAGACCAAAGAGTGTACGCCATGGGGAACCACCTCAGCTACTCCTCCCCTCTGAACCTTCAGCTCAGGGGCAGAGCGGACAGTCTGAAGATGGAGAACAGGTTAGATTCAGGATTAGCTGCCAGGTCCTCATCCTGCTCCGGTTCCTCCTCCAGACTGCCAATAAACAGACAGATAAAGAGTGAAGTGATCACAATATCCTCAACCGCAGCTGTCTCCCCAAAGCCAAACGGCAAAGAAACATGTGCACTTGAGAGGACTAACGGCGGCCTTTCAGAGGGTGTCCAAGGACCTGATGCAACGGTTGTTGTTCTAAGAAGGGACAAGACCTCTGGAGGTGCCCGTCCTCGTCCTCCTTCCTACGTGTTGGCCATCAGTGACAAACAGAGAGAGGCAAAGCACAAGTCGCCACCGTTGATGAAGGCCGGCTCTGCCGATGGAGCGACGTGCTGGGCGTCCAATGAGAGCTGCAGGGAGATTCACCTGAGGAGGCTGGGAGACACTCGACACAAATCCGGCTCCAGCAACCTGGATGACTCCCTGGACTCCATCCCCTTCATAGGTGAGGCTGCCCCCATCTCTGCTCCTTTGGAGGACAAGGGTATTATTTTCAACAAGTGATTCCTATTTCATTCTCAAATGGTTCACGTATCAGAAAACCCCTGAAATCTCTGTATTGAGTCATGGGCATGAAGCCACTGTAAATACGGCTGGTAGCTTAGAGCAATCTGTTGAAGTCAACGTTTCCTGCAACAACCGGATGGTTTAGTCAAGAAACTGAAATGTTTTTTGTCCAAACGTTCCACATTTTGACACAAATTCAGAAAACAACCCTTCATGTTCACTTTTTATGTGAAAAACCAAAATAGTGTTTATTTAAATCAAATTTTGCCATTTTTTTTAAACAAAAGAGCCCAAACTCAATAGAACAGGATGGAAAACATTGAGGACCTTACATGTTTAAGTCTTAAAGCAGATTATTTGTAGTACGGACTTTGAGTAGACCATTGAAACATGAATACATTTTGATCTAAATTGTCCCGTTTTAGCTCCATCACCCCTGAACAGCTTCCTTTTTTTTATTATTATTCTTAAAATTAGCGGATGTGGCCTTAATTTGAGCAGGTAATTAGACAAAGGAAGTTGTAGGTATTATTTCTTGTTTTAAACCTAAATCATCTTATTCAATTTTAAAATTTCCCTGCTCCAAAGATACCCAAAAATACACTTGCTAGTGCTTAAAACTTTGCAGCATGCTGCCACAGCCATGTCTCTGTGTGTCCTTGTGTTCAGGCTGTAGTGTAAAAATGGCAGTTGGCCATTTTTGGTCTGAGCAGAGCGCCTTCATCCATGCTTACTTATATGGTTGGTAGAAAATGTTCTATGGATGTCTGATGCCTTAATTTCAACCTGGAGGCTGAGTATATGGCTAATGTAGCTCCTCCAGAGTTACCACTGGCTTCTGGGCTGCATTGTGATAAATTCACACGAATAAACTCCGTTCAATAATTTGATAATGTCATGACATTAAGATTTAGGGTCACAAAGAAATATAGATGACACAAATCAACAAAACACATTTCAGGCTTTTAGTTTTCTAAAAAAATTGAATCACTCTCCTCTCATTTCCTAATGTTGTTACAATGTGAGGCATGGCAATGCATGCAGTATGAGAGTCAGAAAAGATGTTTTCGTCATGGCTGCGCTGTTTGTGTTTTGCATCTGAGCTGAAAACTGATGCAAAAAAAATGTGCTGATATGAAGGGATGTTGAAAGAGCGATTGAGAATTAATCATACTTATAAGAATGGAAATTATTTGCAAAGGAAAGCAACCATCAGATCAATGGGCGACAAACTCATTTGCAAGCTAAATTACAAGTACCTTCCGCATTATCTCAATTTATTTGTGTGGATTATCTGTGCAATCTGCAAAAAAACAGATCTACATTGGCCAGTGTTGCTTACCTTTCTACAAGGAAATAATGTTTTGCCAAAGCCTCTGTGGTTTATAAATAACTCCCTTGGAAAGTTGTTAAAAACCAATTTTAGGGTCAATAAATACATTGAAAGTTTATCTGTTTGGCCCGCATAACTGGAGCTGTGCCATTTTCTGTCTTATATGAAAGTAATAGAGTCCTGAAACACAGAAAACAGGTTAATAATTAGTTAAAAGACAGCAGGAGCTCAGTTGACCTCTGATGACAGTGTCCTGTGTGTCGCTCCCTACTGGAACATCAGTGAATGGAGTTCCGACTCCAATCTGGGCAAGCAGGCGTGTTTGAACGAAAGGAGGGAAGCGGTGATGAAGAAATGTTTCGCCTTCCTGCAGACCACAACACAAACAGCAGATCAGTTCTCTGGGGATGCAAATGAGTCACAGATGGAGACGTAGCTCAGGATTTCTGTCAAGTTTAAGCTTGTCAGTCTCTGAAATTGAAGAAGATGAGAAACACCACAGGAAGATAAATAATCAAGTTATTATGCAGTTTGTTATTCTAATGAGCATTTATCTGAGAAAAAATGAAAGAAGCAAACAATCATCACAAGTGAGATCTGAGGTGACATTTTGCACGTGACGTCGATTAGCAGCAGTCGGGTTCTGTTACCAAACGGTTTGGTAGGCAGCTGACATGCTGCCGTTTTTTCACTTCTTGTTTAGAGGCGGCAGGAATGCTCTTTTATTCTCCTGTGCTCTGTCACAGTCCATTAGGACGGTGTTCTAAGGTTTCTGCCCCTACGCTGCTGAGGGAAACCGGAGCTGTTTAACGGACTGCGTGCGGATGTGTACCGACTTGAAAAGCTGCAGCAGAATGAAAGAATTACTCAGGCCCGGCAGCCAAGTCATAGTCTGAATACGTCATGGTTCCCGTAGGAACATCAGACGTTTTGGCAAATTTTCCACTCTTTTCCAAACTTTTCCTTTTGTTTTTAAAGCATTATGGGGATTTGGGTCGAAAATAATTTCATAGTCAGGCTTTATTTATGCAGTAGATAATTAGATGAGAATTAATTTCTACTTATCTCAACGGGAAGTCCATATGGACAGGTTCCTAAAGTCCTGAGAGATCTGGAATACAAAGTGTTTTCCATCTATTTATTCGTCCATCTATTCATCCCTTCGTACCTTTCCTCGATTTTTTTTTAACATGAAAGATGGAATAGGTTGGGATTCTTGAACAAAATGTCGCTCTGTTCACCTAAGAAGTAAAAACTTCAGCTGAAAAGAACAGGTTCTGTATGAGCATCTCAATGCTACAGAGACCCGATCCAAACACAGGCAGCAGTAGGCCACATAGTCTAGTCCTTTATTTCTGCTTGTAAATCGGTTATAAATAAACCAATTTTTTGAACCAACATTGTTTATCCCATCTACAGATTGTGCATCCTAGGATAATTAATTCACTTAAGTTTATTCATATAGCGCCAATTCACAACAAGTTATTTTAAGACCCTTTAGATAGAAAGTAGAGTCAGATTAGGTTAAAGTTTCTGTCAAGGAAAATAGGGCTGAGTATTGGCATGGGTTTAGCGATTCGATACGTATCATGATACTTGGTTCACGATATGATATTATCACGATATTGCAATATCATTATATGTTGCGATATTTTTTCCAGCTATCGAAATCAAATGAATAGATTAAAAAGCAAGTGCTCTATATGTTCATCAGAAGATATTGATCATTTCGTTATTTTAGTTTCCATGTTGTTTGGGGTTTGAGTCAGTCCACGTCTTCAACTCTGACCGCCTCAAATACAGATTTGGCGCTGTGCCGCAGAGCAGAAGGGCTCTACAGAGCTTTCTGCCAGAGTGGTGGTGCAGAGGTAGGACATTTTCCCTCATTTTTTTAGGTAACCCAGTTATGTTTCATGAAATCGACACTAGGAAGTGAAAGATCGATATTATATCAGCAGCCGAATATCACGATATATTGCCAAAACTATTAATTCTCGCACCCTTAAAGGAAAACCAGCTGTTTGCATCAAGTTTATTGACTAAGTAAATATGTGATTGTAAAAAATAATCCAACAATGTCATTTTTATTAGGTTTTTTTACAGATACAAATGAGAAACTTTCCGTTACAGCTCCCCAACGCTTGACTACAAATTATGATTTGATGCCTCTTACTTTCAGGTGATTGATTGATTTCATGCCCATTTTAAATCTAGTAAACCAATCAGAGAGCAGTTACATTCGGATGTATCAAGAACTAAACAAGATAAATCTTTGAAGCTCTAGAGTTGGGGTTGTACTCTCCGTCCACTTAGTTCAACATAATTAAAGAACAAACAACATTAACCTTTTAACATCCACCTCTTTTTGGGTAATCCTCGCCTATTTTGCATACGGGAATGGAAAAGCAAATAATTTAGGAACCTTAAGCCCAAATTACACGTGCATTACATTATTTGAAAGCTAACACCCTCTTGTTTAAAATTGGGTGACTAGAACACAGACCAAGCTGCATCAGTTCAAACATGACTCAAAGTTGTTGTTTTTTTATTCTCAGAAATGATAGGTCTTTTTTGAACAGCAGTAATAAAGACATTCTTGAGGATAAAAAGGTTTCATTTTATTATATGTTTTCTAATTTCAGACGTCTAGCTATAACAGTTCCAGAGCTGTGGGGTTTGGAACTTTTGGTGTCAGCTTGAAGCTGTGCGCAATGGCTCCACCTGCTGGTAAAAGTTTTACCGGTGGATTTTTATGCATTCGGAATTATTACCTCCCTTAAAGGGAAACGCTTTTTTTTTTTTTTTACATCAGGCCCTTAATTTTTATGTTATTACATCATGTTCTACTCACCCGGATTTGTTTTGTATCATTTGGAGCCATTCTGAAGATTTTCCGTTAGGTTATATCCAGGTAACGTCTTCCTATGGTTAACAAGTTGAAGACGAAAGTAAACTATTCCTAATTTATTTATGGTACGCCAGCATTCATAACATGTAGGCGAATCACTGTCCCCCAGACACCCATGGTTATATTTTTTCTATTTATATATTTTAAATTGAACCTGCGCACGGATGGCGTCATCCAACCCTGTTGGTCAGTGTTTATAAACCCTGCTGTTTGTGCTGTGTCCTTCTGGCAGCGCTGCTTCTAAAAGGTTCATGTCGTAATGTAGGTTTTGTCTGTTCTAAGATCAGTTTGCAGAGATAAAAAGAAAAATGGCCCGATTTGTCTATTAAACATTTACTATAAAAAAGGTCATGTCAGAATAAGTTCTACCTGTTGGCCTGTTTTAGCTCCATCTGTGATGGTTAAAGGATCTGAATTTTTCTTATCAAGTTATAAAGCAGATAAGGAGTTTAGACTGTTTTTAATGTGTCCTCAGTATAAATATAAAGAAGTTTAATTTCTATAAATGATGATAAAATAAGTAGAAATCAGTGGATTAAAATCTAAGAGAGGCCCCCTCGTATGATGCATCTCTTTAATATCTGAGAAATGGTATTTTTCCTTTTTATTGAGCGGTAAGGATTTAGATAAAAACTGGAGGTATTCTTTTGTCTCTTATCTAGATTTGCTTATCAAAGTGAAAACAAAAAAATCTAAATCATGAGTCCAAGAATAACAGAAACGATCTCACCAAGCGGGTGGTTAGGCCTTCACATGCTCGACTACGTCTTGGTTCGATCTGCTGAGTCTCTGCCAGCATCCTGATGAATCATCTGGCAAAAAAAACTGAAAGGAAAACATCCCCTCAGTGCAAATGATTTTACCAAAGGACACATCCATATTAGCTAATGGCTAGTTGTTTTTACACTAATGATACAGCCTTAAAAAACAAGAAGTTACCATAAAATATTCAAAGTACTCTCATTTATCTGCATCATTCTAAAGAAATAAATGGATCACTGATGTTCTAAAGCACATCATTTGCTTTATTAATGTGGCACAGTGTGATACACTGGACAGCAGCAGCTTTGATGATCCAATCATCCCGCCTCAGACTTGTTTCATTTCTTGAAACACTGTATTTGTCCTCTGCACTTGCATCCTCATTTGCCTGTGGGGCTCGTCATCCTGCTGATAACGTATATCAGCCTTTATGACACAGGATGATTTAATGTTAGCTGGCTGGACATGTAACGTCGAAGCCGTCTGGCAGCTTATCTGGCCAAAAACGTCATGCTGACTGAGTTTCTGTCTGCTTCAGTTTGTGTTTGGCCCTCATTGCTGCATTTTATAGCTGTCTGTGAATGCTTTATATTCAAGTTGAGGCATCAGACGGGAGTTACCACCAACACTGAAGAAAATTTGGAAAGAAACAAATGAGACCATATGTTAATTTTATACAAATATAAATCCTTGTTCTTCCTCTGAGCCTCTGCTGGATTAACGTAGGAGCATAAACTTTCTTTCGTCGTATTTGACCGACTCAGGTCAGTTACAGGTTTATTATCCCATCCCACACAGGAGAAATAGCAAAGTACACATGGATGGAGAATAACATTCTAGACAAAACACTGAACCAAAACGTAAAACGCCCATTTCAAATAAACCACAGATCACCATGAGTTCAGATATCTGAAGGAGCAGAAGAAGAAAGAGCCACATTCAGAACGGGCTTTAATGGAGGCGAGAAAACAAACATCTTCCACCTGAGAAACCCATCATTACCTGTTCAATAGAACTCAGTTTTTAACCCAAACGTTATCTTTTATGGTGGTTAGATGGTTCACAAAACATTTCTATTCTATTAGTGCTGAGAAAATTATTCAGATGATTGGATTTTTGAAATAATCATCAAACTTAATAAAGGAATAAACATTAACAGAAGTAAACACACTGTAAAGTTTTAACCATGAACTGTAAAAACAATATATACGTTGCAAGGGTTCTAGTTAATTGGGATAATATCATGTTTATTTGTGACCTTTTTCACTAAAGAGGCAGATTATATTGATGATGAATCAATTTAATTGATGATAATTGAGTTTATAAAATGTTAGATCCCATTTTTTTTAGTTGCAAATATATCATTTGTCTTTCAATATTGAAGTGTACGCCTAAGACATGCAATGTTTTATCTAGATCATAGATTAATCATCACAATAACTGATAGAAAACTCCATGACTAAAAATAATTGTTCATAGCAGCCCTTTTTATTTAATTTCTTTTTTTTTTTTTGTCTGACAGGTTAATTCAAGCAGCAGTTTTGTTCAAATTATTTAAGCTTTTTTTGTTCTTTTTAAACCCTCTTTGAAGAGCTTGTAATCCCGAGGTTGTGAGTTCGAAACCCACTCCCACAGACTGCCACTCTGGGTCTCTGAGCAAAGACCTTTAACCCCCGATTGCTCCCTGGGCGCCGCACAATAGCAGCCCACTGCTCCCCAAAAGGAGGGCTTAAATGCATTGTGAGATCAATAAAGTTCAATAATTTTTTATATTATGTTTAAATTCAAACGTATGTATTCATTTATTTGTTTAGGTTTATTTATTTTGTTATTTTGGGTTCCAAAAGGCCCATGTTTTAGATTTATTACATTTATTTGTTTACATTCTCAAATATTTCACCTCTTTGATATATTTTATGCCTCATTCAACATTTTATTGTTTTTTTTCTCCAATATTTTTCAGATTATTTTGTGACATTGTTACCTACCGTAATTTTCGGACTATTAGCCGCAGAAGCTAAATTGCATGATTTGTACATATACAAGCCGCACCGGACTATAAGTCGCAGGCTTTTTATGTTTAATGTCCGTCTTTCTCGCTGTCGTTCTGTCTCGTACCACTGGCGGTAGAAGTCTGCTTCCGGAGGACCTCCGCATTCCCGCGCGCGTGGCTACCGTACTTGTGTGTTGAAGCAAATGTGACGTCAACATGGTGGATGGTAAAATCCATAGATTTAGGTATTACCCTATTGTTATACAATATAAGCCGCAAGGTCGAAAAATGGGGAAAAAGTCGCGGCTTATAGTCCAAAAATTACGGTATATTTTAAAGTTGTCGTCTTGATGTCGGAAACAAATGATCCAGATGGTGATTGACTCTAAACATGTTAATAGCTGTAAAACAGGGCAAAGCTGCATACTGCAGGCAGACAGCAGCTGATCATTTCACGCCGTTCATGTTTAATTAAAGCATCACATATTTGTGTCTGACTGCTGAAATACCAGTATAAAACACTGGGCTGAGGTTTAATGCTCTCAGATGGGTTTTGCTCCAACAAGTCCAATAAAAACCAAAGTAAAACATGAAAACTTGTAAATCCTGTTTCCATCCCAGATCCTGAATATGGATCAGTTTCACCAGCGCATGCATTAATCCTTCAGTCACATTTCCAGCCTGTGTTTTAATACACAAACATTCCTCTGTCTCTTTGTCCTCCTCACATGGTTTTTAATTATAAGCCCAGATTCTGGTTCAAACTTCTTCTTTCCAAAATCAACATCACCTCCTTTCCCTAATCCTCTGTTTGTGTCCTCAGATGAACCGTCCAGCCCCAGCATTGACCTGGACAGCACGCACATTCCTGCCTCCGTGCTGATCTCTACGACGCCCGTCATCACCACCATCCCACCCAGCCCCTCGTCTTCGTCTCCTCTGCTTCGACGCCACCTGTCCCACGATCAAGGTTTGGTCAAAAGCCAACAGATACTAAATCTACTTCTCCCGTTTGAAATCGATCGTTAAATTTTATTGCGGGCCCGTTTCTGTTACAGACGCTCTTCATCTTACAATTATCGGGTCAGACTCCGGTAGTAAATCTGAGCGGTCCAAGTCGTACGACGAAGGTATTGATAACTACCACGAGGAAAGCAGAGGGTGAGTTACAGCACTGTGGATACCTCAGCAGTCAGACCTGCCGGGTGAAATGTCAACTCGTTTAAACTTTTATTTCTGCTTAAGTTCTGCTTTGCTTCATAAGCACTTAAAAGGGCAACAAAGCCCTTTAAAAATCCTCCCAAATTCTCTATTGTTCATTTTCTTACATGCCGTTTTAAAAATGTTGAAGTTTCCGATAGAAATTGCTTAACCGTATACGAGAATCAAAAATGAGTATGATGAGAATTAAATGTTGTTTCCTTTGAGTGCTTTATCAAGTCTGTTCTAGATTAAAGGAAAACAAATTAGGTAGAGCTGTAGATTTCTACAGAAAACTATTTACAAGAAAATGCTAACAGTCTCTTTTCTTTGCTGTAAAAATAAATGGTAATTTTCCATGACTTAGGGCAAAAATTTACATTACCATAGCTATGATGTTCTCTGATATTGTTAAGCCTGAAATTTAAAATAAAATGAACTCAGAATGTTTGATTTATTAAACTTTCTGGGAAACAAGGTTGACTTTTACGATGCTTTTAGCTGAGATTGTTAAACTCAGGTCTGCTTTGTATTATCCAAAATGTAAAATTGTGTCTATACTTGATATTAAGTTATATTAAATATTTTAGCAAAGCCAGTGCAATAGGTGTTTGAGTTTAATAATTAGTATTGGTTTAATTTATTTAGCAAAATATTTAGAAAAAGACAAAAAAATAACTGTAATTATTGAAGTATATTAAATTAAGCTTATTTATAAGAAATAGAGGTAGGAAAGGAAGAAATGACAACAGAAGGTTTTCATAGATAAATACATCATTAAAAAACAACACATATTTGTACACACACACACCTACATATAAATATAAAAAAAGTTCATGAATGGTGGATGGAGCAGCAACGCTAAAAAAAATAACTACAGAAAAAAATGTAAACTTTAGCAGCCGACTGTAGGGCTCAGTATTAGAGTAACCATAGCAACAGTGATGCTAATACTCATTGTAATGCTAATAGAAGATGCTGATGTTTCACCTGCTATGCTAATGCTAATTATTTACAGTAGCATGAGCATGGTACAGTTAATGTTTTTCTGTTTTTATTAGCTCTAATGTTAGCATGGTCAAAGATCTATTTGGGGGCGACAGTGGCGTTGGATGTTGGAGTTTGCCCTGAAATCGAAGGATTGACGGTTCAAGCCCAGACTCCGACTTTCATTGTCGTTGTGTCCTTGGGCAAGACACTTCACCTGCATTGTCTACTGATGGTGGTCAGAGGGCCTGGTGGGGCCAGTGTACGGCAGCCCCGCTTCTGTCAGTGAGCCCCAGGGCAGCTGTGGCTACAATGTAGCTTGCCACTATCAGTGTGTGAGTGTGTGTGTGAATGAATGTAGTGTAAAGCGCTCTGGTCAAGTCTCCTGACTTGAATAAAGACGCTATATAAGTACATGCCATTTACCATTTGGAAAAAAGTTCACCCTCATTATACGACATGAGCAGCATGGCGGTGTAGTGGTTAGCGGTGCTGCCTCGCCGCCAGGTTTCTAAATACCAGCTGCAGGTCTTTCTGTGTAGTTTGCATGTTCTCCCCTTGCATTGGTGGGATCGTTCTAAGAGCTGCAGCTTCACCCACAACCCAAAACCTGGACTGTTGGGTGAATTGAAGAGTGCGTTCATGGTCGCCTCTCTTGTCTGTGTTTGTGTTACCCTGTGATGCTCTGGCAATCTGACCAGGGTGCGTCCCGCCTCTCGCCTAATGGCTGTTGGAGCTCTGCCCATAACCCTGCAGTAGGTGAACCCTACTGTGTACCCTATGACTTTCATAAAGCTCTACAATTGATGGACTCGTGTTGTTATGTGCTTCTTCTACTTCTTGACATTTAGTGATAGATTCCAAAATGTTTGCTTTCCTTGAGTTAAACAACAGTGTTGATCTATCCCTTACCAATAAAAATTCACCGTCTTGAGTTTTCCTCAGTTGTTTAGCATGGCTCTTATTTCCATCGTTCTTGAAGCGCCCAACAGCAACAGTAACTCAGCCATTTTCGCCTCTTTAAACTGGCTGGATTTTACTGTTTGTTTGCTCTGGCTTCACTTACACTAAATAGAGACGAAGTTCATAAAAGCAGCTTTAATGAGCTGATAGAAAAACAGAACTCTGAACCACAAAACTAACTCAACAAATCCTTCAAGTCTCCTAACATTTCATGTTTTGTCTCTTCCACATAGGAGGTCTTTACTTCCTGGTCTGAAAGGTCTGAGGAAGGTAAGCTGTCCATTGCTGGACAGTCCCGTCTGTCCTTAGATGACTGCTTTATCAGCATGTCCTCCTCGGTAGTTTATCAGCTTTTTTAGTTCACACCCACAAGATAAATGTTTTCCCTCTAGAATGTGATATGTATATTATGTAAAACAGACAGCTGTGTAGTCAACAGCAGGTAAATAATTGATAGAAAAGAATTATATCACTTGTTATTATTTTTTCTCTTTCGTAAAATGTCTCTACCGTAGGGAAAGTTCCACATGCCGTCATGTGTCACTAATAGTCTATTTATTGAGGTTTTATTTCTGTGTTTCAGGCTGTAGACAGGTCATCAGACGATTCCGGCTCCAGGCTGGATTCCTCATCAGACGTCTTCTGTGATGCAACCAAGGAGGGCTTGCTACATTTTAAGCAGCTAAATGCAGATAAGGGAAAGGTGTGTTCTGCCTCTGCATCATAAAACACAGACATCGGTACAGGAAGCAAACACCTGACCTACTCCAGCTGTATTGACTGTAACTGCGGACTGTTTGTGTACACTATGAGTTTTTAAGGCCACTCACTTGTCTACGGTTTTCCTTTGCAGCGTGTAGGAGGAGGAAATCGACAGTGGAAACAGATGTACGGCGTGTTGCGAGGACACTATCTCTGCCTCTATAAAGACAAGAAGGAGGGCCAAGCTCACGCCAGCTGCCAGACTATAGAGGAGCCCCTGCAGATCAGCATCAAGGCCTGTCTGATCGACATATCCTACAGTGACACCAAGCGCAAAAATGTCCTGAGGCTGACCACGTCGGACTGTGAGTACCTGTTCCAGGCTGAGGACCGAGAGGATATGCTGGCCTGGATCAGAGTCATACAGGAGAGCAGCAATCTGGATGAGGAGGTATGAAGCTTTGGAAAGGATTCCTTTCATCCTTTGCTGCTGCTACCATGTTTTCCACATTACGGTTCGGTCTGGGCTATAAATAAATGAATATAAATGTCTGCTTAGTGATAAATATGAGTTTACCAATCCTTAAGTGGCGCACTTGCTCCATCCCTCTAACTAAACTAAACATTTATAGCAGTTCAGTTCAGAAGAAGAAGCCATTTCTCTGCTCGTATCATACATTTAGTTGGATGTTGATGTTGGCATCATAACCACAGATAAATATTTGCATATTTTTTTTCCTTTAGTAGAATGTATAATTTAACTCTGTGCCACTCTTGACATTCTGTGGATCTATTTTCTTTTTTATATTAATGGTTTTTAAACTAAAGTTGTGGCTTTTACCTTTAATTAATGGAAAATTACAATTTCTTTCAGAGATACATTAATTGGGTTTCCATAGCTCAGAGTAACATTGATTTCTCACTTTTTTTGTTAAATATATAGATCTACTCAAAGTAACTAATGAACTGGTTCACTGTGTACCACAGCCAGCTGCTCACATCTTGCTGGTCATATTTTCATCAATGCAAGGCCCACCAACTTCCTTTACAAATCACAACTTTAATTGAGTAGCTTCTTTTTAAATGAAAAAAATATCTGGGATTTTATTTTTAAGCCATATTGCGCAGCCTTAGTTACGTCTTTTTCTCTTTTCCCAAGTTTGGTGACAAAAACATTTCTTTAACTATCTGGACCTAAAACAGGTCATTTTTTAAAGTGTACACTAAAAGCAAAGTTCTGCAAATGTTGCATTTAGACTCACAAACTTGAGAAACTGAAGTATTGTTCTGCTATAAATATGTTTTAATGATGATTCTGCTTTTATCTTCTAAATCTTCTTTTATCTGAATTTGACTCTGTTAAATACATTTTTGGTCAGTTTAAGAACTGACCAAAAATAATCCCTCTTAAAAAAGGCCTTTACAAACATCAGGTGATAGTTGGAAGATGGTAATGCTTTTGCAATTGTGCTGAAATTTGCATTGATTCCATTCCTGCTCTGGCTTCAACTCAAATAATCTCATCTTGTAGCTGCTGTGAACAATGCACCCTGTGCACCATAATAAACATCACTCTGCTGAAGCCTCTTGCACATATAAATCAATGTGTGCTGTATTACTTGTAGGATAAAGTGCCATAATTAACTCCAAACTGCACCTGTGCTGGTTATTGAGACTGTAGGAAGTGCAAAGTTTTTCTTTTTTCTTTTTCTTTCCAAAGTTAAATTTACTTGTCAGCCTGTAAGAAATAGACTGACATCATAATTGGCAATAAAGAGAAGTGCAGAACCAACCTTTCACCATAAAACTGTAGGCCAGGTAACAGCAACTGCACATCCTGTGGTAACCAACTCTCTGCCTCTTTATTTCAGTCCTCTCTGTTACGATAATAAAATTGTTGATGGAGTTTCCTCCTAAAAAGCAAAGCTAAAACTGATGGTATTGGTGCAGAAACTTCTTAAATATATAAGGGAAATGCCACAGGTCTGAAGACGTCCTTTTACGTAACTGCAGGACTATTCTGTTGAAGAAGCAACAAACATCTTTGACAAGTTCGAAAAGAATAGAGCACCATGTTTAGAAATGTGTCCTATTTGCTGTGATTGAAGCATCCGTAAGGTCATTGGGGACTGAAGGGGTTTCTAACCCTGTGTAAAATGGGCATAAGTAAAAAATTTCAGACATTTCAGTCCTGCCTCCTGTTTGTTCTTTAGTTAAACCCAACAATAAAGTCTATAGTGTTTTTATCCATTGTTTTAACCTATGTCACCTTAAAGCAGCTGGTTACTTAAAGGTATTTGCAAACCCTCCCTCTCCACTTTAGAAATAAGAAAGTTATTTGTCGCTGCTGTCAGTTAGCGACAGCCTATGGCGAAAGGGGCCCCTCTGAGAGCAAATCCTATAATTCCAGGATATATCTGCCTCTTCTGATGCCGTTATTTTCTTCTCATACACTTGGTAGGCACTTTTTCTCTTACGACCCTCGGCCATTTTCAAATAACGCAGTGAGAAAGCTGAGCTTCAATAACTGGCTCAAATCATAGCATGGGCAGAAAAAGACAGCTAACCGGACGAGCACGTAGGACAGCCTTATGTAAACATATCACCAGAATGATTGACAATGGATGATCCACCCGGAAATAAAAGCTAGTCCTCTATACCTTTAAAGAATCACCTTTACAGCGAAAGAAACACCATCTGATGTTTCAAATATGTCTGCTGCATCTTACTGTAGATCTTTTCTTCTTCTCTTCTTTTTTCAGAACTCAGCTTTCACCAGCCATGACCTCATCAGCCGAAGGATCAAGGAGTACAACACCTTGATGAGGTAAGAAGGAGAAGTCAGAGCCATTCAGTCTGATGGGAAATCTCCCAGTTTAATATTTATCTGCTTATTGCTTATTCAGCCCGACGGGCAGCAAGAGCGAGGCGTCCCCCAGAGCTTCACGCCAGTCCCTCAGCATCAGACAGACGCTGCTAGGAGGTAAAGGAGAGTCTAAAGCAACGAGTCCACAATCCCCCAAACCTGAGCAGGAGAGGAAGAACATGCACAAAGGTGGGGATGACTCTCATGTAAAATGTATTGAATAATGTATAGGGTTAGTAATTGAAAAAGGTTGGGGTGGAGTATGTCCTCATGTTATCCACTGTGCATCCAGATGACACCAGCCCTCCCAAAGACAAAGGGACGTGGAGAAAGGGCCTCCCTGGGCTCATGAGGAAACCCTTTGAGAGGAAACCGTCTCCTGGAGTCACATTTGGAGTCAGACTGGATGACTGTCCTCCTGCACAGACCAACAAGGTGACACAATGCTGTCCGAAATCTGAAACCCACACTATTCAGAATACACTTCATTAGATGATTCCCTCTGCTGTACTGAGCGTGAACTCACCTGCTCACTGTTAACCCTCCTGCTTCCTCCATAGAGATTTAAATTATCCCAACCTTAAACATGTCTGCTTGATGTCTCTATTTATCAATCTCTTCCTTAATGCTCTATTCCTCCCGGCCTGGAGATACATTATACTGACAAAATATGCACTAAGTGGTAAAATAGGAGTGAATGTTGACATGATGAAATGATTACCAAATTAGTCATTGGTAGCAAACTGTACGATAAGCTGTTTCTCTGGCTAATGGAATAAAAATCAATGTAACATTCAATATTTCCATCTCAAGAGTGTTGGTGTGAAAAGTTTCCCATGGATGTTTTTCTGCCCTTTAGGAAATAAGACATCTTAAAAAAAAAAAAAAAAACATTTTTCAATCTTGATCAGATACAGAACAAAAAAAAGTAAATCAAAAAAGGTTGTTTTTTTTTTCTTAAAAAAAGTGCATTTTTTCTTGAATTGAGAAGGAAAGTGAGACTGTTTGCTAATGGAACAAGATTTTACATTTAAAAGAAGAAAAAAAATATTCCATTGACTTATTTCAAGTGTATATTATCTAATTATCGTATGCCATTGGCAAATCATCTTATTTGCCTGCTCAAATTAAGGGTAAATACACTTACTTATTTCTAGACTGTTTTTGCAGTGCAGGTAAATCACTTATTTTCCTATAAAGCCTTTTATTCTGCATTATAAAACAAGATTGTCCAGCTGAAAGCCTAAATAATGAGAGATTTCCTTTTAACATACTTCCTTCATACTCTAGATGTCCGTAGCATTTAGTCCCACTTGCTGTTTGCCTTTGATGTGTTTTAGGCTTCCTTTAACCCCTTAGCCCCTACCTTTTTATAGCTTGTGCACAGACTAATTGCATACCCAGACATCAATGGCCAGTAAAATAATATTCTTGTGATATATCTCATTTGAAAGATAAGATCTTCTAGTTTCTGCAAGTTTTACACAACTTGAGCTATGTAACTTCAGAAAAGTCCAAAAATATAATTTGTTTTCATCATGCCTTTACATTTTTAAATATTATAAGTCCATATAAGGTATATCTGAAAAAAAAAATAAAATAAAGAACCAATATGTTCTGGGTCTCTCCGTTATAAAACGTTTTTTAAATACCAAGGTGTGCAGTACTCGATAATTGTAAATAAAGAACAGTTTTTTTTTTTATTGTTTTTGCCTTCTGTCCTCCAGTTTGTGCCCCTGATCGTTGAGGTTTGCTGTAACCTGGTGGAGGAGAGGGGGCTGGAGTACACGGGCATCTACAGAGTCCCTGGAAACAACGCCGCCATCTCCAACATGCAGGAGGAGCTCAATAACAAGGGCATGGGTGACATCGATATCCAGGATGATGTGAGTGTCCTTTATCGATTGCTACTGCTGTAATTAAACCCTCTTTGAAGCCTGAAAATACCTGCAGAACAAAGCTGCAAAGCGTCCTCATCAGGATGGCTGCAAGCTTAACAACGAAGGAAACAATACAATAAATCATTTCTCCTGCAGAAATGGAGGGACCTCAACGTGATCAGTAGCCTATTGAAGTCCTTCTTTCGAAAGCTTCCTGAGCCCTTGTTTACCAATGGTAAGCTGGTGCTGCAGCCCCACCTTGTGGTCAAAGCTGGTAGCTGCAGCTTTTACGGAAATGTTTTCTTCCCCTGCAGATAGGTACGCTGATTTCATCGACGCCAACAGAATAGAGGATCCGGTGGAGAGACTCAAAGTTCTCAAGAGACTTGTGAGTAAAACCGATAAAATTCACCTCATAACGAGAGGGGGGGGGGGAATAATCTATAAAATATTTCTCTCTGATGATGCCCTGCAGCTTCATGAGCTACCAGATCATCACTACGAGACCCTGAAGTTCCTCTCTGCTCATCTAAAAACTGTAGCTGAGAACTCAGAGAAAAATAAGGTAGATATATCTGAACTTTTTCACTTCTTCTGTAGTTTATTTCAGAAATCTAAAACCCGCCTCTGGTTTTCCTTTAATGGCAGATGGAGCCGAGGAACCTGGCCATCGTGTTCGGGCCCACTCTGGTGCGGACCACCGACGACAACATGACCCACATGGTGACGCACATGCCCGACCAGTACAAGATAGTGGAGACGCTTATTCAGAACGTGAGCCTCCGATCCTTCCTCTGAACTTCCTTTCATTCAAGTTAACTGGAAGTTTACCAGTTATTCTGTCCTTTCAGTACAACTGGTTTTTCACCGACGATGGAAATGGAGATCCAGTGGTGAGTTCATGGAAAGCTCTCCAACCTGCTGCTGTACAGCAACATCTGGCCCGTCACAGATTTTTTCTTGTTTGCTATTTTTTGAATGTAGATCTTTTTTTAAATGGCTTTTTTGTGCTTGTTTAAAAAACATCACTTTAAAGGCAGAGAGTGATTGTTTTAAATCCCCTATTTAAACAAAACAGGAAAAGCTTTGTTTTAACTCAAAGGAACAATTTTAAGTGGGCTAAAAATCCAGTTTGTTTTATTTCTGTGTAAATGAAAATTTTGAATGCAGCTAAAATCCATGCACTGTCCTTCACCCGCCCTCATTATACACACCCTTACTACAGATGACTAAAAAGCCTTTAAAAGTGAAAACTGTTATATACTTGCACTGTGAGCATTAGATGTCAACCAATGCAGTTTTTTCAAACACGGTTCTGATTGTTTTGACATCAGTCTGACCCAGCGATTCTTAACCCTGGTCCTCAGGGTCCACTGTCTGTCATGTCTGTCATGTTTTAGATGTGTCTCTACTCAAGCACACCTGATTCAAATTGCATTTCCTAAACAGCCCTCAAATCCTGCAAAAGCCTGTTAATGACCTTTTCAGGTGTGTGGAGGCAGGGAAAAACCTAGAACATGTCGGACAGTGAGGACCTGAGGACCAGGGTTAAGAAACGCTGGTCTATCCAACCCCAGATGTGCACTGATCTTTTTTTTAGCAGGCAGATTTTCAAAGCTTACTTTCTTCTTACATTTACAAGATAAAAAAAGGACACAGTGTTAACGAGGCATGCTTCGGTGAACCACTGGTTAGTGTGCATGACCCATGTATAACATGGAGGCCTTAAGGGCTGGTTATCCTCCCACAGCAGTGTGTCGCAGTGAGCTTGTCGCAGATATTTTTGAGTTATGCCCAATATTGAAGCGTGGTCTGCGCTATGTTATATCACGCCACAATGCAAAAGGGACAATCAGGAACTAGCTGTGGGTCTAGATACGGCCGAGGCGGTGAGGAAGAGGGGGCAAGTTTGTGTGACAACGAAGGGACATGAGGGTGAAAAAGAGCGGGGATCCAGGGGGGAAAAGTTCAGTAAAAGTAAAAAAAAAACAATCCACTGGACCTTTAGAATCATACACAGCTTTCAGATATTACAGGCTAACAATGGAACCAAACAACCCGCTCGTCGGCCTCAATTTGCATGTTTCCAAGCATTACAAGGCCTTGTCTATATAAAGACTCTATCTCACTGCGGATCCAGACATTTGAATTGAGAAAGCTTCCTGGAGGGGAAGCGAAACGTCTTCAATTCTTGGAAACCAAGTCCAGTGGATTGTTTTTTAAACTTTTACGGAATGACTATGACCTGGATGACTGAGAATCTTCATCAGCAGGTGGGAAAATGGTCCCAGTGTTCTCGCGTACTTCGCTCTTCTAGCTGGTTCATCTTCACGAGTTGTTTTCCACGATGGCGGTCATACAAACAAAGCAAGCCGGTAAGGTACCAAACAGGAAATACGCATAGTGTAGAGTGGATGTAGATCTGACCAATCATAGGCCTCCTGCGGTCACCTATAATTTTGGAAAGGTGCAGCAGAGTGTCTGCGGAAGGGGGCTTGTGTAGATTTTTCGTTCACTGCGACACAGATGCAGACGACCTGGTTTCTGAGTATAAATCAGCCTTTAGTCCTTGACGTGTCCGATCCGGGTTCAAATCTGACCTAAGGTCCTTTGCTGCATGCCCCCCCCCCCTCTCTTGTACCTCCTTTCCTCAGCCCACTGTTAAATGATACAAGCCACTAGTGCCTTAAAAACCTCACAAACAAACCGGGAAAACACAGTGTTAATAATGCAATGATGATACAAGAAATACATGCTAACCAGCACTACTGAATAAATGTTTTTATAAAATAAATTAGTTGAGGTTGGACATGATTAAAGTTTGATTTGACAGTGTCTTTAATTAATTAATGGAAAAACCCATATATCATGTCAATAAACCACCTTTTCTTTAAAAAAAAAAAAGGCCTTTCTGCATTATTGAATGAATAAACTAGAATAAAATATGTGAAAAGATGTGATTTCTAAAGTAAAACATGTCTGTTTATTAGCAGAGAACCAAATTAATTATTTAACTATGTGAAAAAAGTTTAGGAATGAACTTTATTCTAAATATTCTTTTAATATGATATACACATGTTTTTATAAAAGAGCCTAAAAGGAGAAAAAGTCTATTTTTCTCTTTAAGTTTTGGTGTCTAAAAAAGGTGATGTCTTTCATTAAGCTGACGTTTACGGCGTGTTCTCTCTCTCCAGACCGCCTCCCATGAAGAGAGCGCCGTGGAGTCTCAGCCCGTCCCCAACATCGACCACCTGCTCACCAACATCGGTCGCACCGGCGCGTCACAGGGCGACGTATCAGGTAACACGCTGCCTCCGCTGTGGGCCGGCCGTCTTCTGTCCTTTCCCCTGCTACGGGCAAAGTCAGGCCGTTTCTGTTTAAGGAGGAAAAAAAGACGATGAGAACGCAGCTTCGTCCCAAGGCCAAGCCTCTCCCTCTGCTTCTTTAGCTTCGGCAGTTTATCTGCATCTCTGAAAAGGATGCAAACGGAAAAATTGCTGCTTCCTGTTTTGCTGTAAGTTTCTTGATTCACTTTGCAAAGTTATTTGTACACCTTGATGTTTTTTACACATTTGCTCTCTGATTTATTGGGATTTTTCGTCATGGATCAACACAAAGAGAGGCATTAATGTACAATAAAGGAAGACAAATATTTATTCTATAATGATAATTTAACTTTATTGATCTCAACGTTTGAATTGAACGTAACCTTTATTTATTCAGTTTTATTTTGAGTTTTTACATATTTTATGTAAGTTAATTATGTTTTATTGTTAATGTTAAACTTTATTACTGATTAGAAATCCTAACCAGGGACCAGGATTTAAAGTTTGGCTTTAAATCACACTAAGCTAAATTTGTTGATGGCCTTATCTTTGATTAATAAACTAATAGATAAAGAAGATTTGATAAATATTCAGAGAAGACAATCGTCCCTTTTTGGTTCTGGAGGAGCAATAGAGCTCCACAGCTCAGGTGGACTGGAAAAAAAGGCTGTCGATTGGTTAAAAGATTACTGGAATTAATCCTGAATAGAGCTGAAAAATTATTCAATTCAGATTGTGATTTATGACATATTGAAATAGTTTACAAACTTTTAAACATGCAATTTAAGGATCAACCTCTACTTTAGCAAAACGTGAGAACAAATGTGAACATTGTGCACTTAAGATAAAAAGGGCGATAGCCTCACTGAATGCTTTAGATCCGTAGGTTATAATGCTCTAATTAAAGAGTCGACCATATTAACTCTTATCTGTTTAAGCTTTGCTATGTCAAAAAGAAAAATGTCTTATTTGAGCCAGTTTGTGTTGATGTGCAACTTAAAATCTCTATAGAAGACGTTAAAGTTTTTATAATGAATGAGTTCAAGGCGTATGTATAGTTTTGCAGGGTTGAAATTGCTGCTAAAGTAAAGAGCTAAAAGATGTGATGTTCTGCTGATGTTCCGGGCTCTGCTCCTCTCTCCCTCTTTCTCCTGCCTACTGTTGCACTAAGTCGCCATGTTCTTTCCACATCAGTGCAGATGTTTTTACAGTAAAAGGCGACCTCTGATCCCTCTGTCTCTAGTGAGGCTCTGTCGGGTGTCCTAACGGCTTTCCCAGCATTCACACATACTGATCTTGACACAGGCCAAGTGGGCGGGGTCTATCACGCCGTGATGTCTCTGATGGACTCTGTAATGTCTGTGATGGACAGCTGTAGGAAGAAGGAGGACTGTTGCCCACACTGTAGCTGCCTAGTCTGCAGGAACCCGCAGGTGTTTTAATTCCCAAAAAGAAACAAAAAAACGAATGTGAAGATGAGGCGAAAGCGTAAAAAGAAACAAAAAAAGACCTGAAAAGCCGAGGGAAGCAGAACGGCTACACGGTACAGTCCCCGCTGTCGTGGCTTTTCTCTGAGAGTATACCTAAGGCAGGCCGGTGGCGCTATCTGAAAGGTTCTCCGCTGTCTCTCCTCACTGTCCTACAAGCTTTCCCACAGGAGAGATAGCATGGTATGGTTTCTACGTCCAGTTGGTGTGCACCTGCATAAACTTTACCCTCATCTGTACTGTACGTAAGGGGAGCGGAGGGGGGCTGGGCTGTAAAACACTAACCATGATTATTAAAAGATAATTGCTGATGATAGTTTCCCTCACCCACACTCATCCCTCATGTAGCGTCCTCTCTTCTCATGTAGCTAGCCCCTCTGTGACCCCCTGTCACCTTTTCTTTTATTTCGGTCACCATCTCTGTCGTATTTGTGTGTCGTTTCTTCTCACCTCAACCCGCCTCATCAGTTCAATAACTTAGCATTCGTTCCTTTGAACGCCATGGCTCAAAAGGGAAGTTGTCCATTTTTAAAGCCAGGGTTTATCTGGCATTTCTGGTAAATATGTATAAAAAGCCTAAAGAAGTAACACAGCAGTGCAGTGGTTTCTGTTCCAGAAGGTGGATTCAGTTCAGAAAGCCTCGTTTCGAGCTCTAGTGGAAAAAAAATACACATCAGAATCATTGGTACCCCTGCTGGTAATGCTTTGTTTGATCACCCTGTGTTCACTGCAGTCTGTAGCTTCCCCCACAGGTGACTGAAACGGACACAATTGTCCTGTTTGTCTTGTTAAAAAACATATTTACCTCATATTTCTGATTATAACTCCCTGGGTCTGTGGAAGAGGAACAGGCCCGCTGCATGACGTATCCTCCACTGTGCTTAACAGTGAATAAGAGGCGCTTTTCCCTCTCTATAATCTAACCAACACTTAATTTATATCTCCTATTGCAGATAAAAATAGATTTTTCCTGGTGTGTAGATGGGATTTAGTGTCTTTATGGAGAATCTAGGTTTTCATTATGTATTGCAGCTTTTAAGGTTTTCTTTTCCTCCCTTCCTGCTTATTGATTGCAGCAATTAGACAAATTTGGATCCTTAATTAAGTCGTCACACACTTAATAAAGGCTCTTAACGTTTTGTTGGCAAGTTTATACCTTGCTTCTGGTCTTCCCCACCTTGAGAAATGAAAAAGGCATTAGAACCAACACTTTTTATCATCCTTTTGCCATAACTGTAAAGTCAAACTACTCATAGGCCAGAAAAATGATATAAATATTTATTTTGCAGAATTCAAACATTCATTTAACAGATAAAGTTGTCAGAGTTTATTATACAGTAGGGAAGGGATGTGTTAATTATTGTAGATCTCCAAACCCCATAATTGACAGGTCAGGTTATTAAATAATCAAGCATCCAGTTCGAATTAGTTTGGACTCATTTAAAAAAAAGAAAAAAAAAAGATAGAAATGTGTAGTTTTGTCATGAAAAAAAAAAAAAATCAGGATTCAATTGTTTTTTGTTTGTTTTTTTAAAGCAGGAAGTTCCTTAACTTTCATCAAGTTTACCAAAGTTTTTTGTAGGAGAGTTAAAAATCACTGGATAGATTTAGATCCTATTTATGAGGTTGTAGAATAAGGAAAACAAAATCAGTTCAGATCCCCTAAATGAATCCTGGGCCACATTTTACATACCGCACTACTAAAAGAAATGAGCCTTTCTTTCACATCGCATTTATACTGTATAGCTGCAGGGGGTCCATATTGATTAATTAACAGTAGTTGATGACTGTAATGAACTTAGAAAAGTGAGGCACAAACTACAAGCTGCATTATTTAGATTTGTTTTAAAGGGATTGCTGGTATCAACTGATTTAAACACAAAATGTTTTTCTCCTCTGAAGAAATATTTGATTTTTTTTTCTCGAAAGATATTTCTCCTTCAGAAAAAGGTGTATGTTTTAAAGGCTTTCTACACATCTCTACCTTCCTGCAACTTGAAATTCCTCTCGGTTCCAGTCTAAAATCCTCATTAATTGGAAAGTAGTTACTTGTATTCCCAGCTGTTGTTGAGCCTCAGCAAGTCAGATACTTCTAAACCATGGTTAGTTAAATACTGTCTATCTACACCACCACAACAAACTAACCGATATGGAAACATCTCCAAAAACACAAGGACCATCCTGGTTGCATGATGCTTCATCCACTCTGCTGCTAAAGCTGCTGTTAAATCACCTCCATCACCTTTGAAGCTGCTGAGAGCTTCTGCTGACAGCCTCACTGTCTGCAGAGACGCCACGCTTTCCATGTCCAGCTGCGTGCGTCCGAGTCCGGAAAGAACATCTGGTCCCTGGCGGACGTGGAGCTGAGTGTAACGTGGAGCTCATCTGTCTGTCTGTCTGTCTGTGCAGCATGACCTGCTTCTCAGTGTGCTCCAGTGTTCTCTCACCTCGTTGCTTTCACGCTCTCATTCATCCACGTATCTCTTCGTTTTGTCTTAATTCACCCCCTCCCCGTGTTGCAGCCTCTCTTTTATTTGATTTTATCATCTAAAATCATCTAATGTGTCTCTCTTTGGTCTTTCTTCCTCACAGATTCACCAACTAGTGACTCGGCTAAATCAAAGGTGAGTGTGTCCAGGTTGCCGTTAGCTTAGGATTACAGCATGATAGAAATGCCTCAATGGGTTAGTAGCCTCAATCCGCCAGCTCTGCTTTTAAAGGATACATTCTCATTATTTTTAATCTAAAAAAAGTGTTATTCTTTTCATTTAGAAACATGAAAAGAGCCAACAATTGAGTTAAAGATAAATGATAGTTAAATGAAAGTGATTAATTTGCTTATAGGGCGAGAGTTAGACTATCCCACAACACTAATTACTGTAATTAAGAGTATAAAATAATGGAAAATGATGGAGAGTCGGGAGGACGAGGTGGAAAAAGGAGGAATGAACCTAAAGCTGGACAGAAAACATGTCTGAATAGAAGGAACACAGGAGGAAGAGTGAAGCTGAAAGGGAGACAGAAGGTGAATATGAAAACAGTGCAGGGAGGGGTGATCTGTGCTTAGAGGCCCTGCTTTGTCGTCACTAAAAGGCAGCAGTGTTGATTGTTTTTGTTGGAAGTAGGCTGGAAACGGGCCTATCAAAGTAAACACTTCCAAAACAAAGTTAAGGATGCAAAACTGAGATAGTGGGGAAAGGATTAGCTGCAGAGGAAAAGAGAATGGCTGCATGCTGAATACATAGAGAAGATTCATAGAGTCGCTGTAGCAGCTGGCTGTTCAAACAACATGCCGCCTCATCCAAAGTACAATTTGGATAAGAGAAAGTTCTGGGAATGGGGAAAGATTATTTATTCTGTTGAACTGAGCAGAGCTTGTTTAGGTCAAACCGATCACTGTACCTGACTTTTTAGAGTTGAGCCAAAATAAAGCTTTGGAGAATGACTGGGTTCAGATACCATCATGTGACTTTCATTAACAAATATCCTGCTTTTATTGGAACCCCCAGAGAGAACTGTGTCCTCTTGTTGCTTTGTTTAAACCTATTTTACGGCTGCTTGCTCCAAAGCCATGAGCAGCAGAAGGAAGACAGAAAGTCTTTATTTTCTACATAGATTCTTTACATCCTTTAAACGTCGTTTTTGCAGTAATGCTTCCTTTATTTCCAGCCTAATTGTGTAAATAGGGCTGGAAATAAAGAAGTTGGTTGTATACCTGTGTGTAAATCCCATACAGGTGTTTGTGTTGCTATAGTTACTGTCATAGCAATGGTGACTGCAGGGAGTTGCTGCTTCTTTTTGCACTGCTGTTTCCGCGCTGCTCCTCCTCCTCGGCTTCATGGCAGCTTCTGCTTTATCTGCTTCTGCATGGAAACAGCATTCATGTGCCTCCTCACTATGATGCTGCTAACCTTCCTCTTTCTGTCCACCTCTCTGATCGTTGCTTCTCAGGAGCAGGTGGAGTACTGATCTAAGGAATGAAGGGTTATTTTTTCTTTTTTGTTTCTTTTCTAAGTTGAACTTCACTCATTTTTCAATCCTTCTCTTTATTCTTCCCCTACCCAATCTCCAGGGTTCCTGGGGTTCTGGGAAGGACCAGTGCAGCCGAGAGCTCCTGGTCTCCTCCATCTTTGCTGCCGCCAGCCGGAAAAGAGGGAGGTCAAAGGAGAAGCCGCTGCCTAGCAGCTCGGATGATGATTTCGATGCCGTTTTTCCCAGAAAGGAAGCTTCTGACCAAAAGCTGAACCACCACTCGCTGCAGACCAAGGCTCTGAGCGAGACCCGCCCCAGCGCCAAACCAAGAGCTGAGGAGAGGAAGGAGAAAGGGAGGAGCGTGGAGCTCGCCTCTAAGGCCAAGAGGGAGCATAGACACTCGTTGTTCCTGAAAGAAAAGACTCCGCCCAGAAGGCCCTCACCGTCTCCCTCACCGTCACCAGTGATCAACGAGCAAACTGTCGCTCAGAGGAAGATCTCCCTGTCAGATCCTCCGTCCCAGCTGGATGAAAACACCTCCGACCTCAGCACCATGAGCTCCGGGGCATCCATCCCACGATCAAGACCAAAGAAGTGGGCCGGTGGAGCGTCCCTGGATCTGCCTGCAGGCGTTGGACCAGGAGGAGGCGCTGGGACGTCGGCTGGAGCCGAGGTGAGCTCCATCACCTCCGACTACTCCACCAACTCCTCCATTACATTCCTGACCGCCGCCGAGTCGAGCGTTCTCAGTCCGGAGCTGCAGGGCGGAGAGGAGGCCGACGACGAGCGCAGCGAGCTCGTCAGCGAGGGCCGACCCATGGAGACGGACAGCGAAAGCGAATTCCCCTTGTTTGCTCCGGGGGGCGGCAGCAGCCAGTCCACGCCTTGTCCGAAGCAGGGTCAGCAGAAAACCGACGCAGGGGCTAAAGGAGGCGCTACGGAGGGGGCGGGCCCACAGAAACAGGAAGTGCGCCGCCTTTTCCCCACACACAGGATGATCGAGTGTGACACCCTGTCCAGGAGGTGGTCCCTAAGGCATAAAACTGATAGTGACTCATCAGCAGAGGGCGCTGTGGGGAACGAGGGGAGAGCAGAGTCTGCCAGCAGGTTGTCTCGAGTCTTGGAGGTGATGAAGAAAGGCCGATCGTCGAGCAGCATCAGCTCCTCTTCGCGCAGCGAGTCGGAGCGCGCCGAATCACCCTGGCACCTCAAAATCACCGAGCGGCTGAGGTTCAGGATACGATCCTCTGCCGACGACATTTTCACTGCCAAGAGCCCGGCGGTTGATGCCAGGAGCAAAAAGAAGAACATCCGGCGGAGGCACACCATGGGCGGCCAGAGAGACTTTGCAGAGCTAGCGGTCATCAACGATTGGAGGGAGCAGGGCGGCGTAGACCAGGCGGCCGATCTGTCGGCTCTGGACCGCCTCAAACCCAGGTGCTCCTCTCAGGAACTTTCCATCCGAGACTGGATCAGCCGTGAGCACCTGAGGGTGTCCGACCCGGGCGCAGAGGCGGCACCTAAAGCGGTGCCGGAGGACGATCATCTCAAAGCTTCCGACGTCGTACCTGAAAAACCTCAGCCAACGACGGCGGAGCAGGTCAACGGCGGCGGGGTCCAGGACACAAATAAAACCCCGCTGGCGCCGGACACTCACCCGCACAAACTCCCCGGAGCGCAAGTCACCCGCTCACGGTTTTACCAGTACCTGTAGGCGGGAGAAACCCACCAGAGCGAGTGTGTTCAAGTGTGAATGTGTGTATTTTAGCACAATATTTTTATACTAAAGTATAATTTCTGTATCTAGTGTACATACTGTGTATAAGCTCTGATGATTGTTACTAAACTAATATTAAAGATCATTAAGTTTTCCGCCATACTGGAACAGACACGGAAAGGAAACATGAACTTTCTCCTGCAGAAATGACCCGAAAAACTGAAAAAATAGACGATTTTTGAGGCGGGAGGATTCATGTTTCAGTTCTTCCTCATTTTGAAGAATGTATTAATCTTTCTGGGCTGATAAGAGATGCTTGAGACGAGACCGTCTGTTTCTTTTCTGCCTGTACTTGAAGTACATAGGAAAACCGACGGCTGCGTTCTGTGGGAAGTTTTATTTCCACAGCCGGAAATTAGCTGGAAGAACTGGAGGATTGTTCTAGATTTATCCCCAAACAGGCTTTGAAATGGTAATGAGATGCTGACGCTGTGGTATGTAATGCTTTGGTAAATCAGTTTTTATTTCCCAGAAAAAGGTCTGTTTTTACATGTTCGACTTGTTTTTATCTCTGAAAAAGTGCCTGTTTTGTTTTCATTTAAAGACCAGTTGTTTTTTTTTATAAACAGAACGATTGTTTTAACCAAGAAATCCAGTTTTCAGTAAAATCTACTTCTCCAGCATTTATTTCTCTCCTGACCACACCTCTGTTTTTGTTTTTTAAATGTGGTAAAAGGCACCAGCGCCTTTAACTGGAAGAGACTAGAAGAAAGCAGGTTTGAAACCTGTACGATGCGAATGTTTGCTGCAGCAGAGCTTGGGTTCAGTGCTGCCCCGTCCCAACAAACACTGGAAATAAAGAAAAACATGAAGTCCAGCATCTGCTTTCTCTCTACTTTTTGCACAAAAAACGGGTGAATTTACATTTTTAAGTTTGAAAATGTTTTTTTCTCTGATTTAGAACATTAAAGAGAGACCTACGGCCCTCAGGAGCGTTTTCCAGACACACAATGTTAAAAACAACTGATTCAGTAAAATACATGCATTAACATTTTAATAAAGGTGTTAGTGTATTTATCAGATACAAGATCAGGGTAGGAGATTAAAACATTGTGATGAGAGAGAAAGGCATCAATGATGGTGACTATAGGGAAAAAAGGATGTTTATCTCCTTTTTCCAGAAAAAGTAGCTTGGTTTTTTTTTTTTTTTGTTAGTAGGTTGGCAGGAAACGAGGTATGAGAGAGGTGGACAGACATGCAGCAAAGGACCACAGGCCGGATTCGAATACAGGTCGGCCACATCGAGGACTAAGGCCTCCACACACGGGTCATGCACACCAACCACTCCACCAGCAAGCACGCCTCTGGGTGTTTAGTTCTGACTGGAAAATCTGGCAGTGATGAAAAAAACAAACTGGAGCAGCTTTATAGGAGAATGAACAGGGTTTCTGCAGGTCATTAAAAATCATTAAATTATAATTTTTAAAGTTAAGGCCTTAATTGGCATTAAAATTCATTAAATGTGATTATCATGGCATTTAAAATGCTTTAAAAAAAAAAATTGTCAAATCTATCAGGTTTAACTGGTTCCACGTGTTTGCGTGGAACTGCTCCTGGTTGATCATAAAGCCATATGTAACAGAAGCTCAAGGCACAGAAAAAGCTATAGAATGGGAAAATGCTAATTTCAACATAAGTGGCTGAAAAATGAGAAATTCGGGACATGGCTGCAGTGTTTATATATATATATATATATATATATGAATGAGAGTAATGGGTAGCATTAAAAAACATTAAATTAGAGGTACTCATTCCTGTATAAACCCTGATGAAGCAGCTGAGCCTTATCTCAAAAATACCCAAAACCTTTTACCATATAACTGCTTTTATACGTTATTAGTGGTTATAGCATTTTCTTGCTTGAAATTAGACATAATTTTAAGCCTTTATTGTTAGATCAGAGCTTCTTTCATTGGAAAACCTAAACTGTGTCTAGTTTATGTGCCAAACAAAGCATTGGCACTAGAGGGGGGTAGAGAACCTACAGGTTGTACTAAACCAAGAGTAGTTCTGTTGAAACATTTAGTCATCCAAGAAATGACTTGCAAAAGAAAAACTTTCAGAAAAATACACTTTTTATTCCAACTTAAAACTTATGAAATGGAAACCATATTTGTTAGAACAAGGTGAAGAACTTTCCTGGAAGATTTCTATGTTTCATTTCTATTCACCCAATCTTTGAAAAGCCCACAATATTCACAAGAGGCAGACGTTTTACTCATATTGTTGTAGCCATACTTCACAATATTACTCAAACTACAATGCAGTAAATGTACTTTTTTTTTTTTTTTTTCAAAATATAACTCAAGTAAACATACCTACTTGCTGCCCACCTGTGATTGGCACTCAGAGCTGAGAAACGAAGCAAAGCTTAAACAGATCACAAACTGATCTGTAGTTAAATCAGTTTAGTCCAGCCAGATTTATTTAGGTCTAATAGTTAATAAAGTAGTGTGGATCTAAGATGGTAAAAAGATAAGAGCAAAAATGATGACATAGCTCATTGTTCTGTTAGAGGAACTGAAAACAAGTTTGATATGTATGAAAAGTTCATAGTGGCTTCTGTTGGCCAGAGCGCCGCTCTTTAATAGACTTGATGGTGGTTTATTCAACCATTAATTAGGGTTATGAGTCCTTTCCACTGAGTTAGTCGTCCTTCGTTATCTGCATTAGCATAGTCTCACTGAAATGTGAGGAAAATCCAACCTCTAATCTGTGCATCAGTACCTCAACAATTAGAATTTTTTTTTTTATTCCAACTTTCCTTCCTTTGGTAGCTCAGACACTGATCTAGCGATCCATGACTTCCTGTTCCTGATATATCTGATGCGAAACAGATAAACTGTAAACACTCCAGGCGGGTGTGCTGCTTAACATACAATCTAGCTGTTTAAAGGCTTGGTGGGGCATCCATGATGCTGTGGGCCTGCTTCATTTTAGAACACTCTAGAACCACAGTGTGGTTTCTCCCGCCTACAGGTACTGGTTTCATTGCTATACATTTAAAAGAAAGATCTTGTGAACTGAACCAGTAATCTGAAAACATGAAAAAATGAGAGGAAATGGCCAGAAATTTAGATAAAGAAGAGTTACTGCTCAAAGTTGAGACCCTTCTGTTGGCAGCAGCCTTAGAGCTGAGAGCTAGAAACTGGTGGTTGTTGTAAGGGTGTGGTATAAAACCATTCCATAGGTCAGGTAAATTTCCACTCAGGTGAGCGGTGCCCTCTGTTTGCCCTGAATGACTGAAACTATTTACATTTAAGGACGATGATGACATTTATGCCCCGTGCCTTTAAGAGTGATGTAACGTCCACCAGAAGCCATAAAAGTTGGGGACATTTTATCACCTGGCAGAATCGAACCTCCACCTCACATCGTCTCAGGTAAGAAACCCTAACACCTGTAGGGTATTTCAACGATTGACCTCTTATTTCTTAGCATTATTCTAACACCTAATATGGATTGTTTCATAACACCTGCTATTAAACCGTAGCTAAAAAGAAGCAGCTTTGTTAAAACCGGGTTAAACATTTTTTTTCCAAAAAAGGGCCAAGAGAAGATCAGAAATGTTGAGTCTGAACATAAATGTAATAATATATGTGAAAAGGTGTTAACATTCCTGTTAAAACATCAGATTTGTTGTTTATCATAATTACAATAGGGGGTATCTTGTGTAAAAATAAACTTAGAAAAACCACATCTATTAAACGTCTGCACTGAATTGATCAGAAAGGTTTAAAAACAAAATGATATTTTCCTATTTGCTGCTGATGGGTCGATGACACAGCAGGCAGATTATTAAACCTAATTTGAATAATCCAAATAATTTATGACATGTGGAACTGTCTTATTTACTAGGATTACATTTTTCCAGACTTAAATACTGTAAATTATTTTATGTTTTGACAGCTGTTTTACAAACCAAAGCTTTGGTGATAGCAGAAAACAATCCAGCACTGAACAGGCTGTTGTATCATAGGACAGAGGTCAGCAGCCTTCACAACCCCGAGAGTTTGTTTTGATTTTGTTCCAGCTAAACTAAACTAGTTTAGAGCCACAAAGATAACATGAATCTTTGATACAAAGCTGTTTTTATGTAACCGCACAGTTCCAGTTTCTATAACAATTCAGTTTATAAATAAAATAAGGCTGAAAAAGCACATGTTGGCAATGTTTGGACAAAGAATTATTTGGAAAAAATATTTCTTACACTTTAAGTGTCATTTCTTTTGTTAAAATGATAGCGTACACTATAGGAAAAAAACAGAAAAAAAATTATGAAATTAGAGCCTACAGCCACTATAAAACTACAAAAATGTTCCTTTATAATATATTTAATTTTTTTCAGTCTGTTTAAATTGAAATTAGTTGCAGCAGTCGTATGATTATGTTATTCTGATTTTTTTTAATTAATGTAAAGTTTTTTGCGAACGTAAAGTTAAAAAGCATATTTAATCGTTTAATAACTTGGAATATTTTTGTTTTTAAAATAAAAAAATATGCATCCCGTTAATTTCAATAATAATTTTTAATAGTAGTTTTACAGGAACCCCATACTCCTGACCTTAATAATACAAGATCTCAGGCGTTTCTGCAAAGATATCCTGTACCTCAGGTGTTACATCGGAACAGGTTTCATAATGGAGCGATTTCATAATGTGTTCACGCTGAGTGCATCTTTTCTGAAACGCTGAGTCATAACTTCATCATCTCTCCCTGTGCATGTCGTCCTCCATGTTGACCTTTCATCAGTGTGTTTTTGTCACATCAGCTTCACCAATGGACCTGGAATACATGCTTCTTTGTCTTTGGTGTGGCTGTGTTTGTCTCTCTGGATACACATTTAAAATTAGTTATTTTTTAAAAGATCTTTTTATTTCTTTAAAGTTCTGGAAAGGAGTATAACCAGTAGCTAGAGTCAAAAGTCTACAAACATGCAGCAAAGAGCTAAGGATGCTGCAAATAGCTCCACAGACTCACTAGTGATGTCAAATCTAAAAACACACAATCGACTGCGACACAATACACAAGAAAAATGCTGCAATCACAGAAAAGAGAAAACAAATTCAAACAAAAGCGAACCCCTGCTGCAAACCTGCCCCCACAAAACAGGAGTACCTTAAACCCCAAACCACTAGGGGGCGCTCTTCCACCAAGCCAGATGAGACCACAGCATTTTTACCTCCCTAAATATGCTGCTGTAAATATGTTGCTAACGGCAACGTGTTTCAAAACACAAATGTAGGAAAAAAATACCCTCTCTTGCTTGCTTTTTTTCTGACCTCTTCTTAGCATCCTGTTAAAGAAGCCTTTCTCAGCGATATTTTCTCAGTTGTACATTTTTGCTCCCGTCATACTTTTTGAATGGCAGAATTTTTTTCTTTTGCAGTCTTTCCTGTTGTACTTGTTTAATGTTTGTGTTTCTAGGTGTTTGGGTTTGCATCATTCATGCGTTTGAGGCTCTTTTTTCTGTTTCAAGCTCTTTGGTTTGCTGCAAGTTTGCTGTCCAGAAGGAATATCTTAAAAGAAGTCAATTTAAAGAATCATGGGAGAAAAAAACATCTTAGATAAGGACAGAAAAATCCTGTTGACCGCACCCTGTACTTTACACAAGAAAGAATTTGTTAAAACATACCAGGTGTGTAGCAAGTACATTGTGCAACTGGTATGTAGGGTTTAGGTCTTGATACTTATAAACACTGGAGATAACTGAAGATACAGAACTACGGAAGAGGATTAGGGCCACTGAAATTTTTTTTTAAAAGTCAACTGATTTAAAAAAACCTCAGAATTCTGACTTTAATCTCAGAATTTTGGATCTTAATGTAGATGGGCACCATGAAGGAAGAGATTAGAAAGCACTCAGCTTCACTGACAAAGATGTGAGTTGTTTGGGAGGGCCAGTTAGAAATTGGTGGAAAATGACGGAATTAGGCGACTTTTTATGTGATGCTATTTAACACAAAGATGCTATTTAATTTATGGAAGAGCAGAAGGTGATTAAAACAAGAGAGCTAGTTTAGTCTTAAAAACAGACAAACAGACAACGGCTTGATGCTACCATGTTTGTCAGAATTCAGTCAGAATTCTGAGATTAAAGTCGGAAATCCGAGATTAAAGTCAGAAATCTGAGATTAAATTCAGAATTCTGAGATTAAAGTCAGAAATCTGACTTATTTCTCATATTATACTAAAATAAAATTTACAAATCAGTTAACTTTTTTTTTTTTTCTTCCAGTGGCCCTAATCCTCTTCCGTAGAGAACTCATTTACAGACTACAGAAAGAATACATACCTAGAAAACAAACAAAATATCTAACAAAAATCTCTCAACGTTAGACAAGCTGCCACTGAAAGGTTGAGATTATGTGTTGTGAATTGTCGCTATATAAATACGTTTCTCTTAAACTGAGTCGTCAGAGTAACTTTTCCTTCAATTTACTCATTTGGATCCTGTAGCCAAAGCCATAGTTCAAACAGATAATTTCTGGTGAGGGAAAAGCAATCAAAACTTCATATGTCACGGTTGGATCAGGAGGCAGAAATACAAAAATACTGAGAACCAAAACACAGATGACCAAAATGTCAGGGAGAACTCACGTTGGGATCAGAGCTGAGGAAGCAGCAAACCAGCACTGAGTGACTGCAGAGGTGAGGTATATATTGGGAGACTGAACCAGGACAAGCTAATCAGCAGATATAGAGCAGGTGTGGGCAGGACCAACTGGGAGGAAGCCAAGGGGAAAAAATAACAAGCACAGTAAGGCAACGGAGGATAATTTAAGAACTCGGCACTGGTAGAAATAAACTACAAAGACACAGAACACAAAGAAACTTAAAAATAAACCCAAGCAGAGGGCAGAACCCTGACATCATACCTATGAAACCTGAATACGATCGACTTCAGGCTTTTTATTAAAAATCTCTTTATTTTTCACATCTGAATCCCTGAGCTAAAGCCATATTTTATAACAAGGTTCAAAAGAATGATAAATAATCTAAATAATAAAAAGCTGTACAAAAGTTTCAGTCAGGATAAGTGTTGCTGAATTTGTTACCGAAATGTCACTAAAAACTCTTTTAAGTCATTAAAATAAACAGATTATCCATCTTTGTGTAGAAATGTCAATAATGAAATAAACAAAACAGCACGTGACGTTTCTGCTTTAGGTTCTACAAGCTGGATTAAACTTGGCTAAAGTGGCTGCACCCTGTCTTAAACTCAAAAACAGGTTTGCCGGTGCAAAATAGGCGCGTACAAGGTAGGGCACAAGAATAACTGGTGTATAGGTTTAAGGTTGTAGTCCCAACAAATCCCTTAAATAACACTTTAAAATTATGATTCAATGTTAGGTTAATTGGCTTCTCTAAATTCTCCTTAGGTGTGAGTGTGTGCGTGAATGGCTGTTTGTCTTAATGTTGCCCTGTGATGGACTGGCGATCTGTCCAGGGTGTGCCCCGCCTCTCGCCCATAGACAGCTGGAGATAGGCACCAGCACCGCTCGCGACCCCACTTGGGATTAAGCGTGTAAAGAAAATGGATGGATGGATGGAATTATGATTCAAAATGAATGAATCTGTCTTTGTCTATTAATATAAATAATATAAAACATACACCACAGCTATAAGTATTACTCTATTATCTACAATACTATCTCTTGAATTCCTTTATTTGTGTGTGAAACCAACTGGATTAGCAGCTCCATTGATTTGTTAAAATGTTAGCTTATAAATACAGTAATCAATTCCAAATAGTGCAAAGTTATGATTGTCTCACCGATTTCATGCTGCTTCACATTTCCACACCTGAAGTATGCACATGCATCAGTAAATGGTTATTTTGCATGCAATGTTTTCCCTCAGCTCCCAAAGCAACCATGTCACCTTCCTGTTTCGTCCTCCTGCTGCTGCCTCTGATCTCAGCTCAGACTGTCCGCTGGGGGCGCTGTCCCACTCCGCCTGTGCAGCCAGACTTCAAACTCCAGGAGGTACAGCTTTGATAAGTACGTTAATGCATTCCCTGAACACCATAAACTTCAACACACGTTTCTGTTTGTTTCTGTTCACAGTACATGGGAAAGTGGTACGAGATAGAGAAGATCCCTGCTTACTTTTCTTATGGGAAGTGCATTGAAGCAAACTACTTGCTGAGAAATGATGGCACTGTCCTGGTGCGCAACTCTCAGGTCGTGTGAGTAGATCTGCTTTTCTTGTAACTTTGCAACAAGTTGTTAGATTATCTGACAACAACAACAAAAATAACACTGTCTATCCCTCTGAAAGGGGGTTGTTAGGGGGTCATTGTTGGCCTGGCTGCCCAGGCGAGATATTTTTATCCCCTGCATGGGGGTGGGGGTTAGCATAGACCAGTATCGGGTATTGCTGGCTCACAAAGAACCCAAACGACTCCCCATTCCTAAGGGGTGGATCCGTTCTTCTGGTTCAATTTGCATGTTTTCTAAACCAAAAAAAAGTTTTTGGGCTACTATATAAAGCTTTCAATTCAACACTAAAGGGCAGATTATACTTCTGCAACCGCACACATCAAATGTTGCTTGCATCTGGTCGCGAACCAGTTTTGCTGGTATGCTTTTACACCGTCAATCTGGAATTTCTAGGGAAGCACAGTAGTTTCCTGCCAAAGCGCAAGGGGGAGCCTATTCAAGAACTCAAGATAACTTTGACGGATGGTCATGAGAACTTCTGCGGCGCCAACGGGAGTGTTTATCTTCCAAAACAACAATGGCGCGTCTGCAAGTTATCAGGGTCACGGAGATGGATCTAGAGTTGCTAGACATCGAAGAGCAACAGGTTCTGTTAATGCAGTTGGCAAAAAGACCGATTAACGTAGTTGTCCATTGTTCCTCGGTTTTTAAAAATGGCACGTCCCGGCACCGAATCCAGAAGGGCGATCACACAGACAGCCAGAAAGGCATACCAAGGACCAATCACAGCTGCTTTTTTTCTGCGCAGTTCCGCTTGAGGACTGCGCGGGTTTGCGACCGTCTGACGCGTAGTCAGGTTTGTTTCTGAGGTGCGCAAAGATGGTTGCAGAACCTCTGGGCTGGGGCGTGGTCACACACAGAGACAGATGCAGACATTGCAGAGGCTATGCGTCAGAAGCATAAATTGGCCTTAGGTCTGACATTTGGAATTGAAAAAGCTTCCTGGATGGGATGTGAAACATCTTCAAACTTGGAAACCAAGTCAAGTAGATTGTTTTTTAACTATTTCATTCATTCTAATGCAAGTATGAAAATACTAAAACATTATAATATTTTGCCCAGTTAATCTGACCTAATAAGGACATTATATAAGAATATTTATTTTGTGCATTTTAATCAAGAAAATAAGGTTAATTGTTCTATGTTGGAGTTAGTTATGATTGTTGTCACACACGAAGAAAGGTGTACCAGACAGCCAAAAGCAAAACATTTTACGGTACTCAAAATTAGTGAGTATAATTAAAGACTGCATAGTTTGTTCTTCTTTAAGCAACACTAATATCGGGGGGGTTTGCATGTTTTCTGAGCCAAAAAAAGTTTTTGGGCTACTATATAAAGATACGAACTCAACACGAACTCTTCAAACTTCAAACTCGGGAGTTTTACTAATGTTAGCTAAGAAAACTGACTTCTTTATATCAAGGCCGTAATCTTTTATGGAATGAACTCATGTCTCTGTAAAAATAACAACTCAGGGCTTATAAAGAGATTTAAATGTATTTATTTTATTTAATTATTAGCCCTGAAATCCCATAAACTCTGTTCCAGCAATGGCACAAAGATGGAGGTAGAGGGGACGGCTAAGCTTATGGACCCTCGTGAACCAGCAAAACTTGGAGTCAGCTTTTCAAGATGTAAGAATGTCTTCTTTTTTATTCTTTTCTCTTTTCTCTTCTTTAAAAGGTTTTAATTTTGTGTGGGATCTATCAGTTATTCCCTACAGGCCATACTGGGTTCTAACCACCGACTACACCAATTTTACCGTTGTGTATTCCTGCACTGAAATGTTTGGTGTGGGCCATATTCACTTTGCCTGGATTTTGTCACGCTCGCCATCCCTGCCTGATGAGACTGTGCAGCGTTGCAAAGAGATGTTGATGAGAGAAGGAATCCATGTAGCTGCGATGAAGCCCACGAAGCAGGACTGCGCTCCAGAGGAAGACCATGACGGCAGTGGAGAAAAAGAGAACTAGAGAGCGATTTGGCTTTTATTTTATACATTTACCTGTCCAAAAACTTCATACTTTGGTATATTTGTTGGTATATTTTTAAACTTTGCCTCTTTTTAAGCTAAAATCAGGAAAATATAACTTGCTTTTAAATTAACCATATTTTTAAAATTATTGATGGAAGGGAAATTTACTTTGCTGTTGAATAAACCAAATCACAGTGTTGGCTTTGGTTTAAAGGACATCGTCTTCACTATCTTTCCAATTATCAAGCCATAAATTCTTCAGCACTTTGAAAGCTTAGGTAAGGATCCTTGTAGATGTTTACTTTTTATTCTGTTTTTTCTATTTCTATAAAAGGACAAACATCTGAATCATAAAGCTTTATGATCTTTAAATGATTATCAACTCTAACATATATAGGGTGACAATGTATTGTTGGATAACATTGCTATTCAACTGAACTGCTTTGGGGAAGAAAGAGGAAAAATAAATGAATGCAGGTTTTTTTAAGCTTTTATTTGGTTTTTCTTCATTGGTGATATATCCTGATTATAATAAAGCACTGATTGCACTTTCTGTATGTTCAATAAAAACACATCTTCGGCAATAAAGTTTGACATAAGAACTCCAGGATCTTGCAGGATGGTAGATTTTCAAAAGTTCGAGTGTGAGGGGTGTGGCGGTGATGCTGTCATGATGCAGGACAGAAGGACCCAATATTCATGCAAGAGAGAGAGTGGGATTATTCAGAGTGTTTATTAAAAAAACGGAACGGGTTGAGGATCCATGGTAGCTGTGGCTAGGACGTATATAAACGGAACCTCTGGTTACAGAAAAACACAGGTTAGTGACTGCGATAATCCAATGCTGGATGATTGTCCATGTGAGTAACTAACCTGGTTAAACAGTTAAGCTCATCGTTAGAGAACGAGGTAGGATCTAGCCGGTGAGGCGGGCGCCGCCCATAGTGTCGCAGATGCTGCAGCCCCGGAGAGCAAGCAGGAGTCTGAGCCAAGACAGGGAAACAGATTAGAACAGAAGGTCCAGGAGTCCGAAGCCTAGTAAGAGATTCTGCTGAGAACAGTAACAGGCTGGTTCAGGGTTCCAGGAGTTCACAGACAGGTTCAGACAGGAACAGGCAAGCTCAGTGGATGAGAGGCAGAACAGGATTAGGACATCAGAAACACTATGAAACACTAAAAACCCTCAGATAATCTGCCCAGATAGCTGGAGCAGGTGGATCAGATGAGCGGTAATTGGAAATAGGGCAGAATTAGACAGGTGAATGAGATGCAGTGGTAGATCAAGCCACCCTTGTAGAGAGGCCTCGGTCCTCTCTGCAGCATTCATGAAACCTTTTGTTTCTCCATCTGTCTGGCAACTAAATCAATCATACCCCTAATGTACCTTTGGTAAGTGGGGCTGCTTTCTGCTGCACAGCAACAACTTTTAATCTTACTGTAAAGGAGAAAAGACCATCTGCTTTTCTGCAGCAAACTGTTTTAGCGGTGCGGTTGAAGGCGTTCTCACTGTGCACCACAGAACATCCCATTAGTACCTAATAACTTCAAAGTAATGCTTTAGGTGGTGTGCATGCAATTCTCCACAACTGCTTTCAAAGGAAATTCAGGCACATCCAATATCAGGTAACCTTTCCTCCCACAACTATTTTGGGTGCAAGGTGAAACATTGGAGCCGTGATTATGGATAAGCTACAGAGATTTGCATACACTTAAATCAGTCTTGAGATTTTCTTTTGTTTTAACTTGATTAGCGTCAATCCTTTGTATGCATTCTTAAAAACTCAAAGAATGTGTAGAATGCCGCTTTGGGGTTTGCATTATCTATTATAAGTGTGAAAAAAGTGATAGAATTTGCCAATTTCTTCTTTATTAATAGAAAATACTGTGTACCCTCTATTTGTGTATAAGTGCTACATGTTTAAACATAACGTAGTTAAGTAAAAATTAAAACATGTATCGCATCTGGCACAATTTCTGATCATCTGTCAGATCAAAACTACAGTCAATGGAGAAGTTCAGTCTAAACGAGGACTTTAAAAGTGAATATAACGGTTATTAAACAATGTAATGGTTGAAGACTAAAATATGAGATCAACATATGAAATATATTGAGGCTGAAACGATTAATCGGATGAATTGTGATTAATTGTTTATTGAAATAATCATCTAATTTAGTAATCGATTAAGGGTTAAGTGGAGTAGAGAGAGACTCTATAACAGGGGTCACCAACATGGTGCCCACGGGCACCAAGGGGCCCTCAAGGACCACAAGGGGTGCCCTTAGAGTCTTCTGAAAATAGAACAACAGTGAGCTACGTTTGAAATTTCATTGTATTCTTTTGCTCTTCTTTTTTAATAGGGTTGTAGAACATTTTATCATTTAATCGTATATGGCATTTAAGCATTTATAGAGATTTCAAAATGAAAATGTCTATAAGAAAATTATAAATTTAAAGAAACGATAAAGATATGTATATAATGTATGAAGTTTAGGTGAACGTTGACCCTTGCCATTCATAGGTCAGTATTGGTAGCCCTTCCTGTGACTCAGTGCCCCTGAATTAGCCCTCAACTGTAAAAAGGTTGGTGACCGCTGCTCTAAAACATGGTTTTAGCTGACAGACAGAGCAGTAATTATACCAAGATAAAAAGAAAAATTGTGTAAACATTTTACATTTAAGATAATTATCTTTTTTGTCTGTAAATATACTCTATCCAGAAATCCTCAAAAAGCTTTATTTTCACCTGGTTTAATTTTGCTTAAGGTCTTCTTTAAAGAACCTTTGGCTATCTGATTATTAATTGATTCATAAAAAAAAAAATCAACAGATGAATTGGTTTGTAAAATAATCTTTCCCTGTCAACACAGTGTGCCCCATCCGGGCTGCCCAGCTGGGTCCCAGATATTTTAGTCCAGATGGGCTGATGGTGGGTTTCACATGGGCCCCCATCTAAAGCCTACATCAGCACCCAGGTTTCTCCCACATGGGTCCCAACAACAGAACCCACTCTGAGCCCATGCACAGCTGAAGCCCATCCAGCACAAGTGAGGCCCATATGGGCCCCACCTGGACGTGTTTGCTGGGTTAGTTGCAGTCCTAATAAATATGCTTTGGTTCAATGAGGAAAAACCTACTTTAATCAGTTCATTAAAAGAGGAGAACAAACATTATAGTTTGTAGAACTTCCACAATAAGAACAGACAAAGCGATTGTGCATTATTTATTAATCATGACAGATATTCTAACTCACACTCTTATAGTGCAATAAACAACACCCTTTAATTAGCTCTTAATCACATATATACGGTAACTTCCTTTCCGGTCGATTAATAATTTCAAAGAGACTAGATAGAAAAATATATAAAGCCTAGATCATCACAAAAACAGTTATTACTGTTCTTCATAAAATATCTATTAAATCAGATTGTATACAACTAGTGGTTACACTTCTGTTTTGCATTTCAAAAAGCAGACTTTCTGAACAGGACTAGTTTGACATGAGCGTTCTGGATCTGATTCTCTCTGCAGGGATTATCAGGTATTCAAAAGAGGTCTTTGCAGCTCTGATCAGTGGGCCTCATTCTACTGATGTCGATTCCTTCTTTGGTAAGCAGGTCTTTGGCGTAGTGTACCGTCGCCTCAGGCAGAGAGCGTGACCGTGAGAGGATCCAGGCAAAATCTACATGGAACAGACGGAAGACGTCCGTGCAGGAGTACACCACAGCCAGGCTGGTGTAGTCGGTGGTGAGGACCCAGTATGGGCTGTAGGGGGTGACTGTGGGTAAAAACCATAAGGCAGGAGTTTATATGCTGATTTGGGAGACTATTTAAGGTATCAAATGTAAGAAGCACAATTTTTGGCATTATTTACCCACAATAAGAGGTATCAAAAGTATGAATGTTTATTACTCAAGCAGAAGAAGAAATCCTACTGTTAGTTAGAGTATCAACTTAAGCTTTTTCTCAAGTAAAAGTGTAAACGTACCATTTTAAAACTTCTTAAAGTATAAAAGTAATAGGAAAAAACTGTTAAGGACAGATGCTTTACTGCACAACCCTATTAAAGGAAATAATTTCTTCAATTCTGGATGATAACTATCTTTTAAGTCATTACATTCATTTTATTATTAATGGCAACATTTTCAAATTTAACTTATAATCATCCTGAAAAGCAATCTATTTTACTATGTGGTGAACAACAATTTGGTGCAAATTAATTGTATGGTTGAAACTAATTATTTTGATAGTTTTATTTTAACAGGCCATAACAAAAATGAGCTTAAATGAAAAATACTAACCAGTCTATTTTTAAAATGTAATTAGTAGAAAGTAGAGATAATTGAAAAAAAAGGTAGAGAATAGAAAGATAAAAGTTACCTAAAGTTTTACTCCAATAAAGTATAGATAGCCAATGTTTCTACTTAAGTAAGATAAACAAGTATTTGTACTTTGTTACATGACACCTTGGCCCATAATGCACTACTTTAACAGAAATGGGGCATTTTAGCAAAGTATTTTTGAATAACCATACTTACAGTATGAGAAGCTGACTCCCAGTTTGGCCCTCTCCCTCATATCGCGAACCACAGCTGTTCCTTCTGCTGTGCTCAGCTTATCTTTTCTGGAACATAGAAAACAGAAGAAGTTTAGCACTACATTGTTTCATCTCCAAAATATTTTGCCACGGATCTTAATCTGGAATGTCCTGCAGGTTTGATTTCTATTAACTAGATGATTTACAAGACAACCCCCCCCACCCCCCACCCCCAAAAAAAAAAAAAAAAAAAAACAAAAAAAACAAAAAAAAAAAAAAACAGCTAAATGAGGTAGAAACCAGATGGTCCTGAAATGTAGAGTCAGTGGTTGCTATGGGGATTCCCGCCTCTTCTGGAGTAGAGGGAGTCTACAAGTTTACCCTTTCTATCAGAAACAATAATACTAGTATGTGCAAAAACTCGGAGTAGTGACTGAAAATTTGGTTGCACCACGACTCACTAACTGTTCTGTGACTCATGCATTTCAACTCCTGACTTCGATATTATCAGGGTAAATCAGAGTTTGTATAT